TGCAGCTTGTGTAAAATCAAATATTTCTTCTTATTCTAAAGATATATTGATAAAGTTTTATAAAAATAATCTTTCTGATTCAGGTCTTGACATAGAACATACTGAGACAGACTATTTCTACTGGCTTGTAATCTTCCACAATTTAGTAAATGGAATTTGATTTCTTTTTTAAAGGAGACAAAATCAGGTTTTTTGGCTTGAGTTTTATGTGAATTAAGTCAGAGCCTAAAAATGTTGTCGTTGATAAAATGATACAGTTCAAACATATAATCTTAAAATCAAGTTTATATTGAATGTGATGAAAAATCGTTTACAGAACTCATTCAAAACCAGTCTTTTGTAAATGAGATATACATATGATAAATTAGCTGATAATTATAGGAATTTATTTTACAATATGTTCAAAACAAAAGACCATTAGACCATGTTTCACACAGCAATGTGTTGATTGAAAAGGGATAAGATAGATTAATTATTTAACAAATCAGAAACGCTTAACCACGAAACCCAACTACCCACTGTTCTGAAATCTGATGAAGATTGTGAATACAATATAGTACACAAAAATTGCGATTTTATCAATAAATTTTAAAGGCCAAGTAGAATCCGTAACACACTGAAGATTTGATACCTGGTACCTTCCTATAACACAAAATATACCCAAACATTGGGGTATCTCATTATTGTCAGGGTTTAGGGTGAATAAAAAATTTGTCACAATGGGTTAGCATTACAAGCCGTTATTTTATGCATTTTAAATCAGTGTTGTTCAATGAAGGGAGGAAAGAGATAACTAGAAGCATCAGGGTATCAACACTATGGCATGCTTTTGTGTTCTTTATTAAGGGTATATTGGGCTTGTTTTAGCTTGATTCAAGTTTATTTTTGGCGGTGCATTCGTTGAGTGTAGGACTAACAACTGGATGTTAAATTTGACAGTAAGTTAATTCCTCCAAATTTTTTTTAAATTAAAGAAAAAAAATTCTCTGAATTTAATTTAAAATTCTGAGTATAAATCTGAGGGCTTATCTACTAGACACAATTTTAAACATCTGTAAGAGTTTCTCCAATTTTTAAATCGACTCAATTAACCAGCCCACTGTGAGGGCCATTGTCAGCTTTAATCACACTTGGAATTGATTAAAGCACATCAAAGTTTGGGTCAGTGATTAAGAATATGCATCAATTTATTTCTTTAATCAGAGAACAGAATGCCATTCTCAAAGGCTTCAGTGGTTGGTAGCTTGTCTTGTTGGGGGCTGACATGGTGTTAATTAGACAGTGACAGAGGGGCAGTGATGGAATGACTACAAAATTTACCGAAAAAAAAAGTTCTGTTTTACCTGAAGCTGTTTACTTTTGGAGTTGTTTGTTGACAAATAGACGTGTAGTGATGCATTTTGTGTAAGACTGACACTTTTGAGCTACTGATATATATAGGACATTCATCAATAGTATAACTATTTTGTGTCTCTTGATATTAACTTGGTTGAAAGTTTCAGGTAAGTTGAAAGTTTTGAATTTTTTCCGAAACCTTAATTTTATTAGATATTTCATTGTGTATCTCTTGCCAGGTAAAAAAAAAATGAAAAGATTATTTTTAACATTTTAAGAGTAGGGGAAAATTATAAAAATAAAATCTATTTTTAATTTTCAAAAAAAAAATCCCAAAAGAAAACATGAATACTAAACATCGATCTAATTTATGTACCACCTACCAAATATTCTATCAAAATGGATTTGATATTGTTTGATTTTATCTCATGCCTCCTTTAAATATCTTGGTTAATAATTTATACACAAGTAACAGTAAAAAGATATCCATGCCTTGTTCTTCACACCTCAGAAGTATTTTCACACAGGTTTTTAATCTGATAAATGAGCTATTTCTGCCCTTTGGATACTGCATAAATGATACAGGCCATTATGAGTGCTTAGTGATATTGTAGTTGCAGGCCAAATATTTCTTTAATATTTCGTTTTTATCTTGTCAAGATAATATCACCTTATGAGATTTGGTTGTTTGTTATTGGAGTTGAATTTCTTGACTTATCTTAGTGTTCAGTGTGTGGTCTTCTCAACACAGGATAATTATGATCTTTGAGGTAATTATTAATTATGAAGTAATACTCGAATCTAATTGATTAATTTTTGTACTTTCTGAAGTCAAATCTGAAAATGTAAATTAGATACTCTATATATAAATATATTTTTTTCTCATGTGGAAAAAGGATTTCCATCTTAAATTGTTTCATCACTGATTAGGATCTAGCTGCAAATGAGACAAAAATAAATTTTATTTCAGTTGAACAAATTTCACTTTAAAAAATGGATATTTCGAAGCTGCTTCTTTTGCTGCTATCAAAAGATTTTGGAATGTTTTTACTATCAAGGTTACATTCTTATAATGACCTCCCAAGTTTTCAGAGATTCTGTTAGATAGAGCTTTCCAAGTCATTCATGACATTCGTAGCAACAATCCGTGTGTACACGATATACTTTAAATTCTATCCTATTTAGTTGTAATTTGATGGTACAATAGAAAATTGAATAGGATCAGTCCTGGATTACCCAGATGTGAAAGTTGAACTAGGGCCATCATTGTCTGCTGGGAGATGGGGTACATTAGCATGAGAAGAAATGGTCGTTTGACTTCAATACTTGGGTAGCAAAGACACATATTGCTCTGCTAAAGGAAACAAAAGTTACACATCCTGGATATAATTTCATTCAACTTTTTACTCTTCGTTGGCCAAATGGTGTGAATATTGACAAAAAGCAGGAGATCTAATGACACATAGAATATCACTCCGATTAGCGGAACAATTGCAGTGCGAGGTGAGGGGGACAGTTTATAATGAGATTGGATGAAGAGACTGTCACTTTTGGTTGGATTGCGAGATCAAGGATTCTGATAGGCTTGTAAAGGAGATTTTGTCTCGAGATTTCATGCTGAGAGATAAAATAGGGAAAGTTGTTTTAGAGAAGCACTCAATGATGTCAGAGATTCACAGTTTGGGAACTTGTGTGGAATAATTTACTCGGATATTTTAGTTCTGTAAGTAATGTTTTGAATTTGCCAAATGTATGAGTAATTACTTCTAAATGATTTTCTGATGTGTTTGCAGTGCAGATTTTATTTTCAATATGTAGTTAGCACTTTCAAATGTATCTAAAATGTTTTCCACATTTCTTTTATTTTGTTTGATGATAAAAGGAATCACTTATACATCATGGTGAGTTATTTGTATTAATAGGCAAAGACCGAAATATGTTTTTAAGTTGCTTGATTAGGAATACCTATAGAGCCATCAGGAATTCATGATATTTAGTGGCTCACACCAGAGAAAATTGATCCCCCCTTAATTCATGGTCTTAACTCCACCAGGGCTATAGGAAATATTTGCCCCTGTGTTGATAATTAATGGCTCCTGCACCCTGCTACAGAAAACATGTCAGAAACTAATCACAGTTGCCCCCACAAAGTATGGGAATCATCCCTCAATATCCCTTTGAACGAGGAAAAAAAGTAAATTCCTTTAGTTGTTTTTCTAAGTTTGTGGAGTCTACGGTTGACATTTGATGTCTTGGTAGCCTTGCTAACTGTCCGGAGCTTATATTGATATGTTGTTGTAAGATCAGCAGGGGAGATAATCCTAGATGTATTACTAGCAGGTGACTGCAGAGAATTCCTCTCTTTCCATGTACTGCATGTTTATGATACAGGGAATCCCTTTTTATCGGGCTAGCTGTACACCTATACACTGTTTAATCTGTTATTGTTGTCAATGTATCAGCATGAGAAATCACAACAGTGTCTTGATCCTAGGAATCTCTCTACAATGACTTCAGAATCCTTAACAGTTCCCTAACTTCAGATCTCTCTAACTTTACTGGACTTTCATGGGAGGTCCTGGGGAGCAATGCTCTATTAATTGACCAGTCTTTGGGGAATAAAATGCTATAATTATTGACAGTTAAAGAGAAGATGGTCAGGCAAACACAGTATAGCACCCAGACTCTGATCCTGCTGGGCCCTCAAACTCTCACACACACAGGCTGTGAATGAACTCGGTGAGTTCACTCAGCAGAGAGCCAGATAGGGGTGTCAGAGATAAATCCAGCTCTATATGATCTTTCTCTGAGGCCATCAGTCACTATAATAGATATGCTGCATAATGTCAGTGTGATTTTCACCCCATATCAATATGTGTGGTTTACCATTTTAATTTTTGGGTGCTGAATTTCAAAATATTTCTTGTTATCATGGCATCTTTTGTAAGGACCCTTTCAGAATTGAATAGAAAAACATCAAATATAGTTATATAGAGACCAAAGTTTTTTTTTTCATACAAATAATGATAAATAGAAAAATTTATAAATTGGAGTTATGTTGAATTAATTTACTTGTAATTACAATGAAGTAGCTGTAATAGAAACATTTGTATTGTAGAGCCAAGAAACATTGAATTTGTAATGGTCAGTGAAAAAGTTTGTTTTACAAGGAAAGGGGATAAATTTTGTTTGCATGTAACTAAGTTAGGAGGAATGATATATTGCCACAGTGCTCGACTTTGGTCATTAAGTGGGCCTAGGGTAAGATGGGCAGGATAAACCAAATCTGTCAAATTGTCTTTTTATCTCCACTAATCATCAGAATAAAAATTTCCAATCACTTTCTTTCGTTTATGAAGCACATGTTGGTTCTAAGATAATGCTGGACAAAGGGAAATATTTACTTTAGTAGGCCACACATACTCAGCATTAAGGTAGATGAAATTTTAAACTTTGGAGGTAAATAAGGAAATTTTTAATTTAAATGGGATTTATTAAATCATTTCTGTACACATCTGCCTGGAAGGGACGTGGTCTGTTTTCCTTGATAAGAACCAAAACACAGCCATGTGCTTTTCCCCGTCGACTTGACGCTCTATTGGCCAATGGTGTTTGTTGGGGGAGGTGCTACTCGGCTATCTTCTGCTATCACTGCTATTGACGGAGTGCGCCCACTAATTATGAAAAGAGATGTTCATTTTTACTTCTCTTCACAGAAACAATTTCATATTAAATGTTTTAAATCACCCAGGCTATAGGAGTTTTACTGAGAGACAAGGATAAAAGAATATTGTGTATTGGGAAGTTTAATATATCCATTCTCTGTAGGTATTTATCTACTGATAGTTTGCTTTCCGACTTGCTCTCTTCACAACTTCTTATATCTTGCTGAGCTTTTCAATTTTTTTCGTAGCTCTTGGAAATGTTTTTAACATTAACTTTCAATCTTGGCTAGGGTTTGTGTTAAGTCCTGTTTGCTTTGTTGACTTTAAGTATGGAATCCCCTGATTTGAAGTAAATTAAATAAAAATTGATGAAATGGCTTATGGTCAGTAATACCTATTTGGATCGTTCATTAATGGGTTTGTATCAATTTAAATCAATTCAGTGTTGACATTAGTTAGAACTGCTCTGTCCCTGTGACTGAAAGCATCAGAGGGGTCCAATCTTAGCCTTATAACACTAATTAATTTAACTCTTCTAATGCAAACAGCAATATTTCCCTTGAATAAAAAAGAGCGGAACTCTGGAAATGGTTTTTCTTTCTGAGAGGTGGATTAACGGCAGACTCTGGCAATGTGTGCAAACTTTGAGAGTAAACATTATTGTAAAATTCACTTAACCTGGAGATCAATCGCAGCAGTGGATAAATATTTGGGCAAATTTGCCCTATAGTTTAGGATTTGTAAAGGGATGGATGGGTGATACAGGAGTTATATATCAATCAGAGCATAGCTTAGTGTAGACTTGGTGTCCCATAACAGATTAATCTTATTATCTCTGCAGTTCTAATGAAGATAACATTAGGAGTCAATTAATGGTTGGATTTATTATGGATACAAAAATTCCAATTTTTTTTTCATAATATAGTATTTTCCTCTTGTTCATGTACTATTTTTAAAAAAAGAAATGGCATATTTTTTAAAATAATGATTTTGAAAAGTAAAAGTGACTAATTTTCATTTCCTTTGTTTTTCAGATTTAAAGCATTTGATGACTGCTTTTGAAGGATTGTCATTGCTACACAGAAAAATTGTCGTCAATAGCCAAGGGCCCATTAGATCAAGGGACATTAAAATACAGTGACAGGAACACTACCAGATATAGTATACTGATAGAGAGATAGTACCAGCCCAGGTTAACTCAACCAAGCCGTGAAACAATGACAACAGGGCCAGGTGAATCATTACGGGACACGCTCCAGTGATCGCGTGGCTACTCTGGGGTGTATTGGGTAGAGAGATCGGAAACTGGACATTTAACATCTGGAAGTCAGTAATGATCATTATCATGAATTAAGGCTTCTCTGTATATACCTATGTGCCTTTTAGGAGAAATGGCCAGTTGAGTAAGAGCCATCAATGTGTCACCTTAAGAAATTTCCAAAGGAGTTCCCTGTGATTTTTCATTTTCAATTTCTTTTTTTTTTGGCTCCTGAGGGATTTGAGAGCTGAAGTTTCGCACCAGGGGATATAGTTTGTTCTGAATTAGTGCAAGGATTTTCGTACAACCAGATGTAAACTAATTAAATTAAGTTAAAACTTGAGGATTTTTTGTGTTTGCAAACTTTAACACTAGTCATGAAGTCTGGCAACATTAAAGTGTGTTTTTTTGGAACCGTGCTTCTAGCCTGCATTAATTTCATTTTCGGACAAGATGTGGTGTATCATCTACTGGAGGGGGACCAGTTAGGTAGAACTGTCGGAAACGTCGCGGAGGCTGCCAAGTTAATTGACATTGTAGGAGAAGGGGACTTCACTCATCTCAGATACAGCTTCTTAACAACGGGAACACCTCATTATACCAGTTTTAACATTCACAATCAATCCAGCTTATTGACAACAAATCAGGCCATTGACCGTGAAACACTGTGTGAATTTACCAACATATGTTTTATAAAATTAAACATAGCCGTCCAGTCCCTGAAGACAAGCTTCTTTAAGAAAGTGACCGTTTATGTGTATATTGATGACATTAACGATAACCCTCCAGTTTTTGACAAACCTTCCATCGATCTTTTGATTTCCGAATCTGTCCTCGTCGGAACTTCTATTACAATAGATGGAGCTCGTGATGCGGACACCAGTGACATCTACTCGTTACAAACTTACGAAGTCATGCCCAATAACACACCATTTGAAATTAACTTTCAGAAGAAGTTGGACGGCACATCAATCGTCAAGTTATTTGTCAGAGAGGCATTAAACCGAGAACAAAGAGACAATTATCTGTTCAACGTAGTTGCCAGAGATGGGGGATCACCCCCTCTTAATGGTACACTCAGAGTCAATATCACTATCACTGATGTTAACGACAATTCTCCAAAATTCTCCCAATCCACTTATTACATTGAAGTCAAAGAAAATGTCAATCTATCAACAGTAATTCTTACTATCAGAGCCACTGACCTGGACGATGGAAAAAACGGACGAGTCTTCTACCGCCTTAGTCCTCACCAGTCTGAGACTATTCTAACCTCTTTTGCTGTAGACAATACCACTGGGGACTTAACAGTGATAAAACCACTGAAATATGTCAAAGGGGAAAAACATGTTATAATTGTGGAAGCTAGTGACTTTGGGGACCAGCCTCTCACATCTCAAGCTCTGGTCAACGTTACAGTGCAGGACGTGGGTAACAACCCTCCGTCTATCAACCTCAACCTCTTGTCGTCAGATTCTCTCGCCCGCGTCTCAGAGTTTGCCAGCGAGGGGACTGTGGTGGCACACATCGCTGTTGATGATCCCGACACTGGGAAAAATGGAGACATCTATTGTAACATTAATACTCCTGCCTTCAAGCTACAGCGACTCGAAAACAAGGAGTTCAAGGTGACAGTTGATCAGGGCCTGGACAGGGAGCTCTACCAGCAAATCCATGTAACAGTGTTCTGTAGAGATGATGGCAGCCCATTTCTAAACACCTCTGCTAGCTTCTATGTGGAAATCGAGGATGAAAATGACAATGCTCCCGTGTTTGACTTATCTGTATATACAGCTGGAATCATGGAAAACAATAATATTGGTGACGTCATTGTCCATGTTCAAGCAACTGATGGAGACCAAGGAAAAAATGCTGATCTTCAATACAACCTTAGTGAAAGTAATAATGGCATGTTCTACATTGATGAGAAGAGTGGAATTATTCGCACATCTGCGAGACTTGACCGAGAGAATACGTCCTCATACTCTGTTGTAGTGATCGCGCGAGATCAAGGTGTTCCACCGCTGTCTGGATCCGCCACTGTCATCATCTCAGTCCTCGACAAGAACGACAACAAACCCGCATTTAATCAAACCCGCTACACATTCTCAGTAGATGAAAACGCTCCCGCGGGATCACACGTGGGAATTCTGTACGCAACTGATAATGACGAGGGGGAGAATTCAGTTATCACCTTCACTGGACCAGATTCAGTTCCATTCACAATATTTCCAGGAGGTTACATCAAAACCGACCGTGTTTTAGACAGGGAGGTCCAGAATCGTTATGAGTTTATTGCAGAAGCCAAAGACAATGATCATGTGACCACTACAGTGGTAACAATCAACCTTAATGACAAAAATGACAATAATCCAGTGGTTACCTCCCCTAGTCATATTAACAACACCATTTATGTCGATAAGCATACAGTGGTAAACAAAATGGTATTCGTCATCAGAGCATATGATATGGACTCTGGGATTAATTCAAATCTTATTTTTGAAATCGTTGGGAGAAATGACTCTGGACATTTTCACTTGCACCCTGACAAAGGACAATTATTTCTGAAGCGCAGTCTAGAGGATAATGTGGGTAAATCCTTCAGACTGGATATTCTCGTCTCAGACATGGGAAACCCTGTACTCTCTACACCAGCCACTCTAAACATCAGGATTCTGAGCTCTAACACTGCGCCGCTGGAGAGCAAGTCCAGCAATATCATCATAGTAGCTATACTGGTGTCTGTGACAATCATCATCTCATTAGCCATAATCATTGTCATAGTCTTCATCAGAAGAAGTGATAGGCAGCGGCGAAGTAAAAGGCCGGACAATGAAAACTTTTATAAGGGTGTGCTGGAAAACTCGGCTACAGTTTTTGCAGCTCCCAGCGAGGAATCCATATCAGAGAAAAAGAAAAAGAAAGGGGTCAGCTTCTCACTGGAGAATGGTGTGGACAAAGTGTCAGAGGTCACCAGTCAGGGTCAAGAGTTCACCTACGATAACGACATGGAGGTAAGCCTCTTTTTCCCCGAATATAATACATTGTAATACATAATGAAAGTAAATACAGTATGGGATTTCTAAGGTTCTTTTATTAACTAACAAAACCTTTCCTTGTCTAATTATTCTTTGTGAACTTATGTAAATTTTCTTAACTGATCTTGTGACTTGTATCAGATTTTGGAGGAGGAAATTGTAATTGAATATCCTCCCATGATGGCACAGCAACTCGTAAATAATCCCCCTGATTTGACCAGAGGTTGTTCCCCTTATATTGAGCAAGAAGTTAGGACAGGGTCTAAGGCCTCCAGTCCAGTACAGTCTAGGTCATCTACACCAGTGAGTCCTGAACTGTCACCTAAGAGTATCCTCAGAAACAAGAATGCAACATCACCTAAAGAGCCATCCTCACCAAAATGGCCACCATCGACAAAACCGCCATCCTCACCAAAATGGTCATCATCAGCAACACAAACCTCAGCTTCCTCCACAAAGCAAACCACATCTTCCATGCTAAAGCAAACCTTCTCTACAGAAAATCTGTATACACCACAGACAATGCAGGGTTTACATGGAGGTCTACCATATTCTAAGACAAAGTCTTCATCCCAGCCACATTTATCTACTCCACCATCATCATATCAGCCCCCAGTTCCACCGAGGTCAGGCAGGGGGACCAAGAGTTTCCTACCACTAATGATGACCAATGGCAGCCTGCTCCTCCACTCCTCTAGACCTGTGTCACCATTTGAGATTTCTGTCTAGGTATTGTTTTACCCTATCTTGGTTTGTTGTGGGGTTTGCTGTGTTGATTTTGTTTGTTGAGAGTTGTCTCCCTTTTGTGATGATGTCATTGTTTGGTTGCCTTGGTGACAGGTGTGCCATCTGTAGAAGTTTTGATTTTTGACTGCTGTGATCTTGTGATGCAATATCTCTAATTGTTAGTTTAACCTTTTGGTTAATGTTTCTTCATTTGCCAATCACTCTGTAAGTAGGAATAATATTATCGCCCGACTGTCTAAACCTACTGCCCTGCAAGATATCAAAGCAACTATAATCCTACTTAAAGCATATATTGTTGTCTAAAATGCCTCTGTTCTTTAGCTTTTGAAGCTAAAATAAAGTCACCAGATGCCCTCCTAAAAGTTGAAAAATTATCTCCCAAGTTCAATAAGTTGAGGAAGTCTGTCAAATTAGCATTCCACCTTAATACCACCACTAAGGCGTTCAGTTACGGTGATGTAAAACAGTAGTGAATCTGTCTATATCGGTGTGTTTTCAGTGAGATAATGTGAAGGAGAAATTGACAAGCTCAATGAAACCTTAACTCCTATCAAGGTTCTAGGCCCGCAGGATAAAGATCTGTTTAGTTCTGTTTTTGTAAACATCTAAACCTTGCAGCTCACCTCTTTTAATCTTTTTAACTTTCTTTTTATTACAATAGGTCCATAAAAACAGACATGTACTTTTTATCTGCCTTACCTAAATAACATAAGAAATAAATTTTCGCTCTATGCCTGACTCAGTCGGAACATGGTGCTTCTAGTCAACCAAGATTTATAGATCCTATCGTAAAAACAAATTCTGGATCTGATATATAAGCAAATACATAAATACTTCAATTTTATTTTAAACATCCAGATAAGAAATAGTCAAAGAATTTACACGGCAAAAAAATGTACCCGTCTTTCATCTTAGTTTTCTCAGGAATGTGAAAAAGAATGGAGAATGTCAAATGGGATTGTTTCTATTAATTAGATAGATCAGTCAGCTGTTCTCAGACACCTGTAATGCAATGAAACGTTTCATCTCTCCCTTCTCTATGAAATTTTGTTTGTTTTAACGAGGTTTTATTTTTTCACGTCATTCTGTCTTTTCTTGCTCTGCGATCTGCTGCCAGTAAATGCCGTATCTGCCCAGTTATTACCGTGCAGAAGATTAACAGAGTTAGGATTTTCCTCAATGAACCCATCTACTTCTTTAAAATCATCGTTTGAAAACTTGAAGTAAAAAAGCGGGGTGTAGTGAACTGTTTAAGAATGACGTTCTTAGGTTATAGTATCAAGCAGATGCTGACAAAAAGTGTTGAAATTGTCCTCCAAAAAAAGATTAATGATCACTTTCTTCCAGATCGACAAGAAACATGGCAACATTGTGATAAAGGTGTTCGAAGTCATGCATGTTTGAACTTCCTAGCAAACGCTTGGATATTGGTCTTAATCAAAAGCGATTCTGAATTTTCAGAGAACTTGAGATGTAGTCTGCTTTAACTCTTGGGGCCTAATTGATGCTTCTAAATCTTTATGACATTCGTTTTAGAAGTTTGATGATGATTTATGAGAATTTTATCTTTTGTTTGAATGCTGAAAAAATCAGAAATCATCCGCTATCTATACCCAGCTCCCAAATGTGCAGTCAGAGACACCTCAAAAGTTGGAAGGGGAAACCTTTTCAGTGAGGTTTTGTCACTGAGGGGCCATTTCCTTGGACAAAGTGGAAGGGGGGGACATAAAAATCACTTGATCCCCCTCTAATGATGGAATCTGTAGTTCCTCTAGACAGGTCGACAGAATGCCAGGCATAAAACAAGCATAAAAATCTAAACCTGTAACAGCACTTTTCCAAATTATCCCCATTTTATGACTGGTAATCAAAGTGTGAAAAATTGTCTGTGAAATTCTAATGAAATATGTTTGCTCTTCTAATGAATAGGTGGGGAATGAATGACTCTAAAGGTAGTTTTATGAAAGTGATGTGACCCTTAATTATGACTTCACATCAAATGGCAGCAAATGATTTATACAATTGTATTAGAATCTGTTAAGTCATAAAAAGTGTAGAAATTTTAGCATGTAGGGTACAATGTGATTTGATTTTGATACAGGAGACAATGGTTAAGGGCAGTAATTTGAAAATTTTGAAAAGAAGTTGATTGAATGTAAATTATAGGCTTAGTGACTGGTGCAGTGATTGGTTGATGTTTGCCCTTGTTTGTGGGGTTATGTGCCATGTGGGTCAGTGCTTTATAAACTTTTTGGGGAGGTGATGCGTCCAAATGAATTTTCCTGCTGATTTAAATCCCTGAATAAAGCATTAAATTCAGGCAGGAAATCTGAAAGGGATCAATATAATCGAAGTATTCCGCGGATCATGAATCCGACAGGCTTCACCTGCCTCTGTATGCTGTAAATGATACAAAATTGATACATTGCTGTGCCGTGATAGACAGGCGAAAAAGGGTCGTGGAGTAGATGGGGGATAATTGAACATGTAGACTGTCTCTGCACCCCTCCCTAGTATCAAAGTCCAAACAGGCACCTGCTGTGAAAACATGCTCAACTGCCTTTAGAACTTGCATTTAATGTTTCTATCTTGGTTTATTTCTACAATGTAGGTAACTTTCTTGTTGGCCTATGTGTAACTGGATATCATGATATCTGTTAAAACATGATAATCTTGTCTGTCTTTCTCATTACTCCTAGTGTATTTGAAAATTTATACTTTTGTATACCACAGGTGTTGATACTGCTCATATTCTTTAATACTCAGAGCTTACCCTCGGAGGCCATTTATGAAACTCTTTAACAGTTGGTATCTGAGAAAGCTTGTGGGAGAATTAGACAATTTTTTTCATAAGAAAAATCAAGATCTTTGGTCAAATCCCTTATTATCTACTGTATATCAAGGATCTAATTCAAGGATTTATTCCCAATCCGCAACAAGATTAATTTTTACAACATCAAGCATGAAGCACGCAGAAGAAAAAAATGGATAGAACATGGAAAAAACATCAAAGCCTATAAATATTAATGGAATATGAAATAAATGTGCGAGCCACTGATATGGTTTCCAGCCGAGGGTGCTGATGATATGGCTTTCTCCTGCAAAGAAGTTTAGAGCGAATCCTCATAAAATTTCCATTTGTCAAGAAGGGGGTCTTCTAAACTCTTTATTGTATGTGATGGATAATCGCCATGTAATATTCTGGTTTCAAGAGCTTTTGTCACATGGTGTCCACTGAAGGACCTGAGACATGGAAGCCAAAAGGTCATAATGTAAAAGTTTTAATCAGCAGGAATAGCCAATCTGTCTTTTCAGAAAAAAATGGTTGGTGCCTTTTAATAAAACTCATCCCATTCAATCACCCATTATCCGGAACCCTCCCTCATGCTTTAGACAATAGGTATTATGTTTAGATCCATGATTTAAGAAAATGTCATTAAAAAAGTAGAATAGCACATGAGTGGGAGATCTGTAGGGTGCAGACTACAGTGTTAAGTGACTGTGACGGAGGCCATTACCGGACATTTAGAATCTCCCTGGGTAGTCTCACCAGAGTCTGATACTGTGTCATAAGATACTCAACAAGAGCCCTCTACTTTGTCCTGTCTTGTTTTTAGCTCACTCTTACTTTCTATTTCTTGTCTTTTTCTGATTTCACCTGCTTCTCACCTGCTTTGGATTACAGGTACTCTAGGTAATGATTAATATAACAATTACACTGTACATATATTCAGGAATTCTTCAAATTTTCACCACCATCTATAGCCATTTTCTTTGTACTGTTTAATTATTTTGCATGAGTACAGTTACATGTATTATATTCTCTACTTTTTAGCTGATTTGTTCATTCACATCTTTTACAATATTTGCATGATTTGTTCACTTTTTTCATCTATATTCTATATACATTTTAAAATTCTTTTACTTGTTCATTTTAGAGAAATTTTTAAAATATAATTGAATTCAGATTGTTCCCCCAAAAACTGTTCTGACTGTTAACCTTCTGAGTCATGCCTTATCCGAGTTCATTATTTTTTTTTTAACATAACTTTGATTTTGTTAATGAATTGGTCGGAAGCCAGCTTAGACTGAAGATCTTGTTTCTTAACACCTACAGCAATGATTTTAACAAGTGTCTTATTGACTTTTTCAGTTTGTGTGATTTTTAATGAGCAGATTTCTTTTAAAAGAAACTTGATAGCTTATATTGATGCACTTCGAACATAGACCTCAAAAACTGCCTCGAGTTAAAAAAATATTGTTCATCCCAATATGTCACAGAGGGATTTTAACCGATTATTAATTTGAAAATGTTGTCGGCAAATAAGTTATCGTACTTTAATTCTTTTAGATAAACATTGACCTTTTATCTAAGATTTTCAATAATTGATTTATTTCCTTTTGACTTAGCTGTTCGATTATCTTAAAAAAAATCAATGATGTCTGATTTATTAATTGAAATTTCTCACTTTCTAAGTTAACACTGTCATTACAAGACTTTTTCTTATCATTTTAGCGGAAGGTGGAGGACCTTCACAGTTTGGGGTCAGCCAGCGACAGTGGGCGAGGGGGATCGGACGACGAGCTCAACACCTCACGTAACCATAACTCCTCAGGTGTGTGAACCGTCCAATCCACTGATAGATAATCCGCGAAGACAGGGGCATTAAGTCAAATTGATAATCTTAAAAATCATGTAAAAACAAAAACCTACAACACAACAATGTATACACACCTTTAGATACATGTATACATGTACTGGTATTTATAATCTTTAAATCTTGCATCAAAAAGAATTACCAATGATCACGGGAAAATAACAGCACAAACATTGGGATTTTAAGTACTGATTTATGATTATTGAATTTCAAAATTCAAAAAAATCAAAATTTTAAGGAATTTTTTTGTTTCTTAAAATTAATTTGAAGAGAATACATCATCATCTTTTTCAAACAAAAGTTTAATCTGAGAGAATTTTAACCTGTACTTGCCAACCAGTTACTTAATTTTAGACAAATAAATGAAACATAAAGTAACACATTGATGTCTAGGGCTCCAAACTTTGGACTTTCTTGCACCTTCTTTTAGCTCAACAGAAGCAGGTGTAAAATCAGGCTATTTTTGTGTCAACACCTTGTTTATTTACAGAATAAAACATGAAAAACACAGACGCAATACAAATATTACAGTAGCCCACCTCAAAGTGTGCCTCCACACCATTAACTACAATAGTATTATATCACCTCATGTTGATTTAAGCCTCTGTCTAATGGACCCAGGCAATTTATGTTTGCTTCCGGAAAGAATTTTAATTCAAAATTCCGCAAATTCAAACACAGAATCTATTAGCGAAGTGTGGAAAAGGGAAATTCAAAGAAAACTGTTACATGAAGCTATTCCATTCAAAACTGCTACATGAATCTATTTCATTCAAGTATATGAATTCAATCTCATTGTATTTAATTAATAGAATTGTCTGTTTCAAATGAAGAATATAAAAAATGCTATTTATCAAATGAATAAACAATTATTTTTTCCGCAATGGGGTGAAAATAATAATTACATCAATAAATTTTGGTGAATCAGAAAATCTTTATAAAGAAAAATCTACTCTTGCATAGAGTATCTAGAGAAGTCGAAACTGTCTTAAATAGTTTATCATTGGATGGTGCGATTAGAAACTGCTCAAGATTAAAACACCAATAAAATAAGCTTTAATTATTTGTAGAACTTTAAATTTAGCATCTGATAAATGGGTGTAATCAGATCCTGTCAAGTTTAGAAAATACGAGAACTTCCTGAGTCTGACTTTTATTACGAAACATGTCTGTGATGTTCCTCCAATTAAATGTTCTGTTTGTTTTACAGGTGACATTCATTCCACGAAAAAAGACTGGTACCATCCCCACCAAAGAAACTACAATACCCCCCTGCAGACATTCCTACCTCAGAATAACCCCCCTTCCTACCACCCCCTCCCCCACCCCGGGGGCAGTCAAACCAGCCACCACAGTTACCAGTATTCAGATCCAATGCAGCCGGGATCTTCTGGTGATCACCCAAAATCGTACCATGGGAGATCAGTGTCGTTTGATACAAACACTTCCATAGGACTGAATCAAACCAATGGACAGTCACCGGACTGTGTGGTTTGACCCAGGACACTTCTGCATAATGATTTGCAATGAGTGCTATATAATTGACACCCAATTGGATGTGATTTTTTTTGAGTTTTCAAATTTTAGAATAATTCAGGGGTAATTCATACCTTTGATACCAGATTCTACAAAGAAAAACTCTTGTACATGACTGCCAAACTGTTTAGTTGAGAGAGTCCCAGGGTTAAATTTCAGCAGATTTAGATAAGAGAAACTGAGACAATTGAATTGGCTGTGAAAATCTGAAGAGATGACAGAGAGAAGCTCCTGTAACCTGTGGATTCAGAGAGAAGGAATGCTTGTAGACTCTGTAAACTCTACTTGATGTACTCAGGAAATGAAGAGGATTCTAACAGCATTGTAAGTATATACAGGGGGAATCTAAATAATTGCAGGCTCTTTGATCATGAATTAAAACTTAATTTAAAAAAAGTAATCAAGTACATGTATCTTAATTACATACCCATTTTATTTAGAGGTCAACACATTTTTCATACTACAGAAAATCGAAATATTTAATTAAAGCTTGATATAAATGTTTTATTCCTAGGATCAAAATACAAATGTATAGTTTAATATACATGATGCAGAAGGTGTAACTACATTTATCTTCATATTCTTATGTTGAGTTAACTGGAATTTTTTTATTGAAATATTTGAAAAAGAGGGAGAGAGAATGTGCTTTGATTAGCCAGGGAATTAATTTTGTTCATGGTATATCCCATATCACTTTCTATCACCCTCAATAATTGATCACCCTGTCATTCTAGCCCAGTGAAATATGATACAGCGTGGTGTATTGTGTTTGTTTTCAGTGTCCGTGCCTCATCTTTTATGTATGAATTTTAATAAGAACAGGTGTCCGAGACACAGTGTATACATAGCTGTTACGTCCATGTATAAAGCACCTCAGATCAATAGATATCTGTCCTAATTAAGCTTACCTGTTACTCTGCAATGAATAAGAATTCAGTTAATTTTTTTTTCCTTTTGAATTAAAGAAAATTTACAATCATTTAGGTAGAATAATAACCCCTTCCCCTCTAAGCTTTTATCTTTATTAATTTGAATTTATCAATACAAAAACAGTGTGTGGGATTTTTAATTAATAATTAAAATCAATGCATTATGCATCATTTGAGTGTGCCAGAAAGTTAAAAAGCTTATTTTTGTCTTTTTACAGAATTCACAGAATTCAGACCAGCGAGCCTTCAGACCCATGACAGAGGAAGCTTTCCTGTATAACTAGTAACTTATTTTGAAGATCATAAATCTTCCTGGCTTGTCAATTGAAGGGGGATAACCCTGAAATATGATCTCAGTTTTCAAAGGACAGACACAATACATATTGGTGCCAAACTTTTGATAATTCGTTTATTTTGTTGTATATTTAATGTTAATATGTGAGGAAAATGATGATGTGAATGTGTACAATTGTATTCAATGAGAGCATTTCCTATGACACGATATGTAGATATGTATATAAATGTGAAATGTTTATATTTTACAGCTGATTGAATGATTTTCTGTATGATATAGGAAGTGTGTAACTGCAAAATATGGCAGCATGATTTTATAGCCTGCCTATGTGATGATAATAATAAAATATTTCTAAAAACTTTTGTTTGGTGCTGTCAGTATTTAAAGGACTGGAATTAACAAACTGGGAAATAAGGAATATATTTTTTAAAATCTATAGATAAAGAAGCAATTTTTTTGTTCATGTATCGGAGGTAATAATTCATATCTGGCATGGCTAAATTGCTTTTGAGAATCATTTTATAAAACAGTCAGAATTTTAAAAATCTCTCCCCTGTGTAAGTTAAAAGAAGTTTTGACTACATGAAACAGGAAGATAAAAAGTTTCCATTCATGTTTGCCTTCCTACATACCCATGAGGAGTGCAAGTATGTACCCCTCAAGAACTTGCTAGTATAATGTTGTGGCTAATATTTGAAGTTTTTCAAAACTTTTCAACAAAATTATAAAATTTTATTTAATGTAGTTATCTATTGTAATTATAAATTAAGAGTGGTTTCCAAAATCTCATAAGGTTGTGTAGATTCAGGTTTATTCAAATCATAACCCCCAGGGATAGGGTGAAGCCACAATGGATGAGCGAAGTTTTACACAGGAATGCATGTATATAGGGAAAAATTTTAATCATCTTTTTCTCAAGAACAGCATAATCATGATAGGTCATATCTATATGGAAGCATCCTCAGGAAGTGTAGAATCAAGTTTGTTCAAATCATGACTAGGAAGGGGGGTTAGGGTGGGACCACAATGCAAGTTCAAACTTGAAGAGTAAAAAAGTCACAGTTAGGGAAAATATGCAAGAATCCTTTGTTAGTGTTGATTCAAAATTATTCAAATTAAGTTTGGACCACTTATGGATTTAAACTTTTCAATACTGAACTGAATTTTTTTTCCTAGCGACAGTGCTCAGGTGAGCGATGTGATCCATGGACCTCTTATTTAGGTATAGAGACTGATTCTTTGAAATTGCCCTGTCTCCTGTGGCAGTTAACTCTTCTGTCAATAAAAAAAGAGGTAGGGGTGTCACTTAACATGGAAATGGTAAAACAACTCCACAAAACGAATTACCATTGTAAAACTGAAAAAAGTTCTGAAGGTGTAGTTTTAAGTAACCCCGATTTCAGGTTTAAAAAAAAGCCATTTTATCCAGTTTTGAAAAATTATAGGTAAATTCTTTAATAATTAAAAAAAAAATGAATATAATGATTACATCACAGGCACTTGTTTCTGAAATGAATTTTTGGCCCATAGTATACTATGGATCAAATATTTATCACAAAAACAAGTGCATGTGGATTAAATTGAAGGTTGATATTCCTCGAATGAGAATACATGGACTGCGTTAACAGTGACCAGAGATTTGAAAATGTAGATCGTATATTCTATTATTTATAATCAGATAATGGGGTCCCAGAAGAAAAGACAAAAACGGAATCCTGCTCGTATTTAATAACCATCAAAACGACGGACTACTTTAGAATATCCGTAAACGAGGGAAGTGGGAAATGGTCATCCTAAGATGTCAAGATCTAACTCTTTGTAATCCTTCTAAATGACCTCGAAACCCTATAAAGTTTCTCCTTTTAGGATAACAGCGCATTTTAATTAAAAGCATTGTACTGGGTACTTTAGAGGATTTGACAATATATTTTTCCCTACTCAACATTGGAACACCTCATTTGGCTCTTTTTATAATGCTAAAAGACAACGACAATTAGAGGTATATCATTTTCCAATAAGACTGTTCTTTGATTTACTTCTTTAACTTTCTAATAAAAAAAACAAAAATATATCAATAATTTATTTTAATGAATGTTATAAAATCCCGCTTATAAAATATTCAGCGAAATCTTAAACAAAAGATTCCAAGAAAACGCTCACAAAACTTCACAAACATGCACAGGGTGTTTCAGAAAACATGCAACCATTTACTTACCTCACTTTATTAATATACAATCAAAAATATATGAAAGTTTAATATCAAACTCAATGTGGTTTGAAAAATACCAGGAGATTCTTTGCACTAGAAATGAGAACTTTCTTGCATGGGATAAATTTATACATTCAGCACAAATGACGCCATTTTGAACATATTTTGTAACTAAGTTAACTTTTACAAGTTTCTTTTTTCTTCTTTAAGTCATTATCTATTTGGCAGATTAACTTTACTTTCATAAGAATAAATCTTGAAATTATGACTTTTAATCTGATATGTTTGTTCATAGCATTGCTTGAAACACCAGTAAAATTTGATCAATCAAAATGGTTGAATCTTTTCTGAAACACCCTGTATATGATGAAAATAAATGTTTTATTAAAAATCTACACCAAGAAAGGGTCTTTCCATATGAATGAAAGTTTTGTAACTAGGATTTTATTTGAATCATTTTCAGTTCGTAGGGATGCTCTTTAATTAAAAGTTGTGTAACTCTGAATATTCTGATACACCTACTTGGGTGAAAAGTTATCTGCTTAATATGTACAGCTGTATGATTTATAGGAAAACCAGTACAAAAATTGGAGGAAGAAAAAATATTACCCGCGACGGGACTCGAACCCGCAATCCCCGGCTTAGGAGGCCGGTGCCTTATCCATTGGGCCACGCGGGCGTTGGAAGTGCCGACAGTAGATTAAGTGGTTTTAAATACTTAACTAAATTTTCCACTTGAAACCCTTATCGTCTGTCAACCGTAGCAAGGAATTTACACAAAGGAGTTTCCTTTAACGCGGGAATAGAATTTAATGTAATCTTTTCTCACCGTGTTTAAACAGCGTAAATAAAAACATTCCTTAGCACTGAAATTGATAACCTCAGTTTATTAGAGATAATATTTTGTAATTTGATTTTATTCTTATAAAAGGAATATTCTTTTTGTAAATTTAATTTTATTCTTATATAAGGAATATTCCTTTTTTTTTAGACTATTTAAATAATTCTTTTCATGTAACAATTTACAAAGTGTTTAAACAACTTAAACTAAAACTTTGCAGAAAAATTAATATATCTCGAAAATAAAATGAGATTTTAGAAGCAATAAATTTTTGTATGCGTAATTGAAAAGTATAATATTTTGTTTTTTTTTTAAATAAGAATATTTTAAATATCTTAAACGTACCATTCACAAAAGTCTAACGAATGTGTTCATCTAAACCGTTGTATAGCGAAAACGAAATTAATTAGCCGTGACCCAACAAGGGAAACACCAAAGAAAAATACCTTGCACATGAGGATAAATATTTAACAACTCATCCCAGAATGAAACAAAATAAACATCCGCCGACCCACCAAGACTCGGTGATGAAAAAACAATGTGTACGGCGTCAGATACAGAAGGATTAGACATTATTTGGAACTTTTTGACATTTATTTGTTCTCCGTGAATTACAAGTGAAGCGATAGCTGCAGAAAGGGGAAATGACATCATGAACAGAAGTAAAAAGTAAAATTTCCGTTTGTCATCTAAAGTTGAGAGAGAGAGAGAGAGAGAGAGAGAGAGAGAGAGAGAATCAGTTCTCGAACATCTGTTACAGTACACAGTTTGTCACTTTCGATAACTCACCACACAGCATGGGGGCATTAAAACATGTTTTCCTACCTGCAAATTAACGCCAAGATGGCAATCACAAACGGCAATTTTCGGACAATTTCATCTAGGGTTGCGGTCATTCCATGCCAAAGATGGGTCATTAGATCGAAAGATACGGCAATTGCACAGTATCAAGTCGCTAAATATTGGTAGCAGAAGCAGTGTCTTTTGGATTTATTGTATATTCTGTATCTTAATTACAGGTGTCGTACTTTTTTCGATTGTATACGGTATCCCAATTGTGGTTCTTATACTCAAAGAAAAAAGAGAGACGTCTATCCTTCCCTTTCATCCTTTTTTCACAGAGTTCGATAAAGCATGTGATTTTTAATTTTATAGCTGTATTTAAATTCAATTTTACAAATTTGATCTAAATTGTGGTCACAGGTTTGTTTATTTATTTCAAGTATAGGCACGCGAAAGAAAAATTTGAAGAAAAATTGAAAATGCATTTTTTTCGTCATCTAATTGATAAAAGTATATTGGATATTTAATATTCTCTCTCTCTCTCTCTCTCTCTCTCTCTCTCAGGCTTCCTCTGTACGTTTAATTTTAAATCAATCTTATTCTCAGACACATCAGAGTGACAGTAATCTTATAAAAGCTTTGTTCGCGGGCTCATCTTTTCACCCACGGCCGGACATCATGAACAAGACACTAGATTAGAGAAAAGCCATTGAAAATTAATGCAAAATTGTCTCCATCTGTCATTTTGAATTTAAAAAAGTATAATGTATAGCTATCTAGAAAAAAAGTACAAAGTGCACATTCTGATTAGCATCGTTATTATTTTTTTATATTCATTTTTTCCAGTAAAATTTTGTAGGCTTATGCATAGATTATAAGAGTCCAAGGGAAAAACACAGTTTAATGCATCATTAAATCGAGGATTTCTGCAGGCTTTGTATATAGAATTTGTAACTTGAGCTTAAGGTGTTAGAAAAAATGAAAGTTTGAATAAATGTTTGATAGTGTCAAGTTCTGATTAACAATATTCCGAAATATATTCATGAATTCTTCAGAAATCTGAGAGGACGAAAGCCCATGGCCATTTTACGACTTATAAACCGGAATATGACCTTTTTAGAATGGGCTAGATTTCGATAGATAAATAGTAAATTCGTAAATTTTATCGCCATATCGCTTTGCTGATCCATATGACCAGAAGTTATGGATTTTGTTATCATTTTTATTCTCCAATTATCGACAGTTCACAGATCGAGTATTTTAACTAATGGGGAAAGGGGGATAACTCTAACTAGCTTAGCTGAGATGTAGGCAAAAATCCATATTAGGCCGATTTGTTTAATTTTGGAAAATAAAAATATTTCTGTAAAATTGCAAGTTATTTAAAATGACTTGCGACTTAAAAGAAGTTTGTACAAAAAAAAAAATTAACTTAATTTTGTACATGCCAAACACACACACACACACACACAAAAAATCTAAATTAAATTTTTAGAGGGTAATACAGTATTCCTAACAGATAAGTTTGCTATGCATAGTGACCCAAAATATACATGTTCCTGTGATTTTCGAACACCTACCATTTCTTTCATGAAAAGTCTGACCGTGTCACTTATACTTGCGCTTTTCAATGTAATCGTTACACTGAAAAGCTAAATTTAACGTTTAATTCAAAACTTATTCGTCATACAGAACTACTGTGACAAGACTCTCAATTTCCCGCGGTTTGTTCGGGGAGGAACATTAGGATCACAGCACTTCAGATGTTGGGGGGATTGTTATATATGATGGAGGGTGTGTCACTCGTACAATACGTCCACATAACCCTATCAAGCCGGGTAAGTGGACAGTGGACGGAGAGAAAGGGACATTTCATTTAATCCCTCCGCCTGCCGTCCTTACCACAATACCAACCCCACGTAACATTGGACATCAATCACTCTCCGTGTTAGAAATGGAGGAAATTTCTGACCCATTTGTAAACAAGTATTGAATAAGAACTTGACGATTTTCACACTTGGAATAACATTCATAAAAACAAAGTTTGGATAATCAGGATTTCCGATTTAAAATTCTGCAAATAATAAACAGAGCGGGCTTAGAGTTGGTCAATCTGAGCGGCTCGCTACTTGAAATACTCCAGACAAAGGCCGGGTTAGGATGATAGGTGGAATAAGACTGACTTATAAAAGGAAACGCTTGCAGTACTTGATAACTTAAGACCTTTAAGATTTTTTTCCAATTCAGTTCTTTAGTAGGGCCTTGTATCGTTAAGAAGATTTTGAATTAAATTGAACACTTTCCAAGCCTGCTGTGTATTATAGCTAGTAATTACTGTGTATTACTCAATATACAAACAAGGAAACTAAACCTTTCCCTAATCACTCATATAAAACAGTGGAGACACTTAGAAACCCATCATATTTAGATAGCAAGACAATCTTTCTAAATATTTTACTGATGAATTTAGTACATGTATATATAAGACTAGCAAATCAATTGCAAAGCACACCATCTCTTTCCAAATCTTTGTATACCGGTATTCATAAATGTCAGTTTATTTATGTAATATATTGAAATTATTGAGAAAAAAAAAAATCAGGATTCTTTTCATAATTTTTATTAATTATAATCATTTTTGTATAAAAATATATTGCTGCTTATAGCAAAATAATAACAATATACAAGGAAAAAACAGTTAAATGCATTACAGTCCAATAATCTGGACCAACAACAAATGCTGCCAGCAGTTAGTTGCAGAGACAATGTCACAAGGAATATTTTTTACATTTCCAAATGTAATGTAATGATACTGTGCCCTATTTCTCACTGGATATACACTTTGATATGATTTGAAGATATTCTTAAGTGAACAAAGATTAAGTAGTTTTTCATTTCATGAGTTGATTAATACAGAATCTTTTCTTACTTCCATTTATACACGTAATTTGAAGAAAAGGAACTTAATATTTCACAGAGATCATTTTGTATAAAATATTGTGCACAAAACAGTAAATAATGTAATGGTTGCACCCACAATGATATTTTTTGAGACCATAAATGCATTTTGAACAAATCATGTGTGATATGAAATAACACAGACATTATGCACATTGATAACATATTCAAGTAAAATATTGCATAACAAAAATAAATCTTGATATTAACCAAGTCTTGTGTTTTGTGTAGCACTGTAATACAGAGTTCTGAGGAATGACATCCTGACTAGAATTCAAGGAACACATGAGACATGATGAGGTCACTTTCCCCAGGAAATCATACAAATACATCCGGCACCTTGTGAAGACGGACTTCTACAGGGTCTTCCTCATCCTCGTCGATGGTGTAGCTTCCCGACGTAGTCGTGTCATCATCGTTATAACCTGTAGCTACACTATCTATAGTCTCGTCCACACTCCGCGCCGAGTATAATCCACTAGTAAAATGTCCATAAGATGGAATGGAAGATGTGGGACTTACAGAAGACTTGGGCTGATAAAATGTCCGTACATGGACAGGAAGGTGATGGGAGGTGTCCCCTATCATTTTGGAGTACTGCTGTAATTCCATCACATTTTCATACAGAGGGGGTGACTGGGAGTATGGAGGACTTTGATAGCGAGGGGTGTTACTCAGATGTGGGGGTGTTCCTCTCCTTCCGTTCTGGGAGGGGCCAAACTTATTACGGAGATCATCTGAAAGACAGAATTCAAAATCAATTATTCTTCAATTCATCAAAATAAACACAAAATTTATATTTTTTAAAGTTGAGTAAATTATGGATTTAAATTCAATCAATATTTATTCATTCGCACATTAATTAAGCTTTTCTTTTCACGTAAAAATCTACAATTCAAATTATATCAATATGGTTGTCAAACTTCAATATTTTCAATTGCAAATTAATTCTACTCTTATTTTGTTGATTTATACCAATTTTTCTCATGACAAGGAATATTCAAATTCCCCAAGTTCAATATTTAGAAAGTTAATCCAACTTAATATTTTAGATAAAATTTCCTCATGTATTAAGAAAAATTGTAAAAATAATTACAAAATTATCAAAATATCAGGCTCTACAAGAGCCAGAGAACTTAGATGAGCTTACTTTTGTTCTCAACCTCACTTTTTTTCAAAGTAAATTCCTAATATAAAGGTGAGGTTTAGCTATAAAATACAAGCTGACTAGGTTTTATGACCAAAGAGCCAGTGTATGAGCAATATTGTCTCCGATTGAAGAATAGCATCAATACAGCATGCACTATTTGCATCAGTGCCTTTGTAAATCAATAAAGCGCCCCCTACCAGTATGATGAGAGTGAGACATGGTGCTTCTTGTCTCCCCTTCACTGATCCCTACACCACTGTCTGACTGAATGGTCTCCCCTGATGTGTCACTGTGATTGTCAGGTCTCTCCTTGTTATACTGAAAAACACAGAATCATAAGTACTTTCTAAAAAATGAAAGAATCAAGAATATATTTTCAATGTCAAACTTATAAAAGTATCTTTTAAGAAACAAATACAGATACATGCATTTATAAAATATTCCTAAGCAGCCATTTATATTGGTAATCAACAATCGCAATAAACTGTTAGACATTCAAGACTTTGATACAATATTGGGTGTCTAACAATGTACTATGCGACTCTTCCGGTACCTCTGTTGGCTGTATTTGGAATAGAACTTGACACCGTAAACTAATGGCCTGGAAAATTCTGCTCCTAAAGAGGAATCAAACTCTGATTTTGTGATAAAGCGCAAGACTTTGTGTCGTAATTGCATCCACATGAATTTCAGATGCACTGAAAAAACTAAATGGGAAGTCATTTTCCAGATCACGGCAGATAAATTCAACCTGAAATCTTGTGAAAAAGCTGTGTAACCGTGCAGGTCCAAACAATTGTTCTTTTTCTCATTATCTGCTTAATGTTTACGATTGATCAGGAGGCAAATAAAGAAGATAATAAAAGACTGTTTATACCTATCAGCTCTGAATCTCCTCCCCAGTTAATCACTCATTGTAACTGGGGCCTTTGTTTCAAGACAGAAACAATGTAACCACATTAAGACAAGTTCAGATTTCCTTGAGCTTTTTTTGACACTCAATCACAGAAAAAAAAATGGGGACAGTCTCCAACAAAAAAACCCTTCTGTTTGTCAAAAGAAAACAGAACCTTTCAAACAGGTGTCAAATTTTACTGTTTACCTTTTCTAGAGATATAAATCAATTGAACCACTCTAAACAAGTAAACCCCCAACAAACCACCCAAAAAGTTGTATTGTCACTCCAAAAACACAAAGCATTAGTCTCATAGGACCGTTATCTAGATTCTTGCAAAAGATGTATTGTAGAGAGCTGTATGTGGAGGGAAAGAAAGAGTGACTACTGAATTATTTTTTCCTGATAATGATTTCCAGTCTTGTTATAATGTATAGTAGTGGAAAGATCTGGGCACTGATTGAACGAGTAAGCAGTTCAGGTCATGAAAATTAATACTGATGAACTTTAACTTTCTCCTAAATATTGTACCCCCTTGATCCTAGCTGATTCTATTATCTTTTTTCCTGAATCACAAATGTAAAGTACATACTGGTAATTACCAAAATAATTCTCTATCCTCATAATATTTTTCTTTTCTACATAATATGCCCAACTGGTGTACAATGGAGATGATTAAAATTTCTTATGGTATGCCTCAGTGCCAAAATGCCACATTTTCTTGGTTTTATTTTGAATTATACTAAAATCTACTTATTTTTTCCTGAGCTTTACTTCTGACTCTGTCATCACTTTGTGCATGTGTCTGTATTTTGTATATGTCTGTCTGTTATTTTGTATGTGCATGTGTCTGTCTGTCATTTACCTCTGAGCTGTGTCCTGGCCACTGCTTGTCGTGGGTCTGGACCAGTTTCTGATGAAGTCTTATGGATGCCATTCTGTTTAACTCGCACTGTCGGGCCTCGTCATTCGGCGATTCACTTCTGGTGTGTTTGTCCATACTGACTGAAGGGTCGGACAACTACAAAATACAATATATTTATTTAAAATTGATACTTTGGTCAATACTGAACTGTTAAAGATTGCTGATTTATCCTTGACAAGTTCTTCTGGAAAGAAATGTCAAAAATTACAGTCAAAATATCCTCTGGGATAATTAAATAAATAATAGTAATACAAAGATGAATTTTTGTATATAAATATTTTAAATTACATTTACACCCCAAAGCTAAACATATGTGTTAATAAAAACAATGTACTGAAAAAATTTAATTTGTCAATATTTATGTTTTGATTTTTTCCATTAGAAACTTTTAAAGACTCCAATGAACTTTACATGTTAATCTGGGAACCCCATTTAAACCCATGTCCAGTGTTCCCGTACACCCTGGAGGTGTCTTAATCTGGAGGTGACTGACATTGGAGATTTTCAGAAAAGAGCTCAAGTACTCTTGATTTGCAAACCTTTCCAAATAATTAGGCATATTGAAGAGGTAAAAAATAACAGATCTATATAGATGTCACTTCTGGATATAGGCAGGTTACATATTCTTACATAGTAGAATGAGATCCTACTGTGAACATAGATTATATCCCCCTCTTATAAGCCCTCCTTTAAATGTACTTTGAATATGAAGCTCTTTTTAATGGTCTCCACTTTAAGCAGATTATTCAACAAACAGAGGGATAACATACAATGTTATTATTCTTTTTTCAAATTATCAATCTGAACCATTTCAAGTCTTGAAATAAGGGATTAAATTTGTTTGTGCTCTAATTAGTAGTAGTAGGGGGAGAAAGAGACAGATTCATTAGAGCAAACTTTTCTTTCTCTCATAGATTCACTACTGACGGCCTACATCCCAAAATAGAAAGTATTCACATATACTTAATAATCAACTTTTCTCCAGAATCCCTGAGTAAAAAATAATTTTTTTTAACTGGGTTAGAATTTTCAAAGAAGAAGGTACAGTTTGGGCTTTATTATGCCCTAAAAATTTAATGTTCTTAAAAAGCGATGAAATTGGCTTTAAGAAGAGTTGAGTAGATGGATATGATAAATCATTAATGAAAATGGCATGAAGAAGGACTGTTCTGGAAATATGACGTCACTAATTTGGAACATTTCTAAGTTTAATGCAGAAAAGCCTCAGAATGACCCATTTCTGTCTTATTTTCCTTTAGAAAATAGTCTCTGCCACCGTCACCCACTTCAATTTTTGGATATATTATGTAAACTACTATAAAAAAAATCACATATCTCAAAATCTTTGTGGGCGACGGCGGCAGAGAAAACATCACTGAAAATTTATGTCTTCTGCAACTTTTTAAGAAAATACGGGAAAATGCACAAGTTAATGACGTCACAATAAGCATTTAGGAGGTCATATGAGAAAAACGATGTATGTATTCTTACTGCATGGAATTCTAATGAATCAGAAAGAATGAATTTTAATTTCTTATACGACTTTCATATTTTAGAAAAATACAGGGCTTAATTTGTATTGAAACTGTACCTTGCTCTTTCAAATATTTAAGAAGCAAGTAAACAGGACAGAGTAGTTCAATAACTATAAGTTTAAAATTGTTCCTGAACTTCCATGATTTAAAAAAATCTGAAAAGTATAACGCACTGTGATACACCATATTTATTTATTTCAGCTTATCATTTAAAATTGAAAAAAAAAATGTATTCTTCTTGTACCGCAAAAATTGCAAAAGACCAAAAAATTTACAAAATATTTTAATAGTGTACAATTCAATATATGAAATGAAATTCATTTGATTTTTTTTAAGGTAAATATCTATGAATTCATGCGGTGAGCAGACAAATCAGAGATGTGCCCTCGCTGTCTATAACAGATTTTGTGGATTTTCTTACACAAGTTTTCCCACTAGCCATTATAAACCAAACTGATCTCTATCTCAAAACATCTGATGACTTTCCGTGATAAAAATCCATATTGCAAATTATTCACCTGCTTTCTGTCTCCTATTTAAGGTTAAAAATTCATTATCTCGGGCTGGTTTTACAATTAAAATTGAAATTCTTTTTTCCATGTTTTTTATGGACACAGTGTCACATTATGTAGAATACAGAAAGTGAAATTCAACACTTGGTTGCCTATATTTGCATTTTGTGGCCATTTCATACACTGATGAATCCCGAATTAATATTCCCTGATAAAATACATGTTCTGGGTGTTAAACAGTGTCACTTTTTCCCTGACTGTGCCTTTGGGATCTAGCGGTTCATTAGGGATGTCAATGTTATCAAGGCTGTCTGGGTGTTACTTGTATTTTTGAATTACACCAGATCACCTAATCTACAAATAAGTCTTCACCTTAGGATAAACATATGCTTTTTATGGACAAAATTCAGTCTTCCACAAAATTTAGGAAAACTTTTTTCCCCTTCATTATTTGAGCAAGAAAAAAAAAGAGAGTAAAAACTCTTGCTTGTCTGTGGTTACTGGTTGTTGTCAATTTTTAAATTTAATGTTTACCCAATCACAGAGTTAATCTAGAGATAAGTATTCTGTTTGCCAATTATCCATTTTGTTAAGGGTAGCTGGTTTACTTAAGATCAATCTTACATCAGACTTATCAGTTTTACTGTGTCAACAGACCTGCACACTGTAATAGGGCTACCCCTGATCACAAGACGCAGATTGTCTTCCTTAAGTTTCACAAGGAGTTCTGTGTTCTCCTCAAATTGTTTTTTTTTAATATAGGGCGTGATTTTCAGAAACTAACAACTATAGTTGGCGACAGTTAGGAGGGAGGGGACTGCTCTTTATAAGGACCAGATCCCACTTAGAAACCAGTCTTTGTTAAATTCAATATTCCAGCAGTTTGAGAGCCAGGGCACTATAGAAATTTTTCAAAGACTTGTTGATGTGTGTAACTTTTCTGAATTTTTCATTTCATACCCCTAACTGACTTTCTGATTCTTCACTGTAGACAGTGCTGCCTTGTAATAACAGTATACCGCCCGAATCGCCCGATAGGGAAACGTTTCACAATGTGAAATCAATAATCGCATTCTGTGTCCAGAAATTGATTTCTTGACATGTGAAAAGGAAATAAATAATAATAATAGAGCACTACCTGGGATCTGCCCAATAATTTACAAACATGTCTGAAAAATAATTAAGAGCACAAAATGTTACTTTAAAAAGTACATAACCTGCCTTATATCTAAAGATGACCCCCCATGTATGCTCAGACCTTAAATTCTTGATTGGCTTCAAATTTCTTTAGAAAAACTCAGCATAAAGGTACAACTGTTGAAAAGTTAAAACGATACCTCTATTTGTTAAAATTGTAGATGATTTACCTTTTGTGGAATGTGGAGTTTTGAAACTGAACCAAAATATTTAGATCAAAGTTTGAACAACACTTGGCAATGTTAGTAATTTTTTTTCATTCGTGATAAAGACAGTATGTGTAACAGCTTCTGAGTTTATTACCTGGTACATGTTCTGGTTGTTCCTTCTTCCTCCCTCATCTGTTTCATCACTGTAAAACATGCCCACATTTTCTCCTGGGGCAACATATTTCAGAGGATCAACATAAACTCTGGGAACTGAGTTTGTATTTGCTTTAGCCTCAGTCTGTGCATTTAATTCCTTTCTTTTCAGGTCCCTGCGTCTCACAAAAAATATTGTAATCAGAATGGAGGCTGATAAAACAAGTGTGACAACCACGACTGCCACCACGATTCTCATGTTGAGCTCATCGTCTCCTGCGGTGTGCGTTATCACAGATGTGGTAGCATTAGTCCTTATGACCACTAGATGTAAATTCTCGTACTTAGTGAGAGGCTTCACCCCTTTGTCTGATACAGCTATCCTGAGGAAGTAGCTGGCAATGTGTCCAGGATGCATGGTTCTGGCCACAATAACTTCCCCAGTCAAACTATTGATATTGAAAATGTCTGAATCATTTCTGTTGGTAATAGAATACACAAGTGTTTTATTTTCTCCCTCATCTATGTCAAAAGCTTGAATCTGGGCCACTATCATATTTAGCCCCGAGTTGACAGACACCTTCACAGTGTCATTGGAGGCATTAGGGAACACTATGATTGGTTCATTGTCATTAGCATCTGTGATGTCCACTTGAATCACCACACTATTTCTATTGGGAGGGTTTCCATGATCTGAAGCAATAGCTGTAAATATGTACCGATCCCTCTCCTCTCTATTAAGATTCCCATTAACCAAGATAGTGCCATTGGGGGCCAGGAAAAATGGGACCTCTGAATGCTTTGGAAGGGAGAAAGATACCTTTCCGTTGTCTCCAGCATCTTTGTCAGTAGCTGTCAGCTGAAGAACAAACGTGTCAAAAGGCACATTCTCTTGAACAGAGGCTTTGAACTGATTTTGATTAAATTCTGGAAAGTTGTCATTTTTGTCCTCAATATTGACCACAATGGTAGCAGTGGAGGAGAGTGGTGGATCTCCAGAATCGACGGCGTACACACGGAATCGGTACTGTGACACTGACTCTCTGTCATAAACCTTGTTAGCACGGATTGTCCCCGTGTCTCCATCAACAGTGAAATCAGCTCCAGCGTCACCATGAAGTTTATAATGAATTCTAGCATTTTCACCCAGGTCATTGTCAGTAGCTAAAATCTGAATAATGGCATCTCCTGGATTGTTACCCTCAGGAATCTTAGCAAGATATTCATTCTGGGAAAATATGGGATTATGGTCATTTTCATCTGTGACTTGCACTCGAAAACTTGCATTACAGCTAAGAGGTGGAGAGCCAATATCTTGACAAGTAATGCTCACAAAATGTTCATCTTGAGCCTCCCGATCCATTGGTTTATACACAGTCACTTTATACTCCTGAACATCAAGTTTCTGCAGTGTGAACTGATTGTTGCTGATGCTGCAGTTGACGATTCCATTTGCCCCAGCATCATTATCAATCACTCGGATATGGGCAACCACAGCTCCACGGTTTGCATATTCAGACACTTGGGCATGATCTGTATTGGTCAGCAAGTTAATTTTAATTTCTGGTGGATTGTTACCGGAGTCCTGTACATACACATTCACAATGGCCTGGGTCGGGTAGGGTTGTTCCCCTCGGTCGTATGCCTCAACTATCAGCCTGTACTTCTCACTTGGTTCATAAATCAACTGTTTAGCAATTTTTAGTTCCCCAGTATTTTCATTAACAAAAAATAGTCCTTGGAGTTCTTCAGGTTGGTTAGTGCTGATTTTATATAAAATTTCCCCATTTTTACCAATATCTTTGTCAGTAGCCCTTAACTGAAGGATGGTAGTATTTACAGCAATTTCTTCCTTGACAGTCACATTATAAATGGAATTCTCGAACATTGGGTTATTGTCATTGATATCACCTATTGTAATGTTAACTCTCATCATCCCGACCTTGGGAGGGGATCCGCCATCATAAGCCAGAATCTGAATATCATAACGACTCGTCTCTTCTCGGTCCAAAGATCGAATGACGTTCAATTTCACTGAAAGACTGTCATCCAGGTTTCTGAAGAAAATGACATCGAATGGAGTTCCTTTAGGTCTAACTTCGTATTTTTTGACAGAGTACTCTTCGCTATCTTGGTCAATGGCTCCATCGATGACAAAACTCTGATTAACCTTAGCACCTTCAGATATTCTGAGATCTGTGGAGGGGTTTGGAAATGATGGTGTTTTATCATTAATATCTAGAAGATTCACCATGATGATGATTTTTTCAAAAAATGCTGCAATTTCAGACTGAACTGCTATTTCTAATGGGATTATACAATCTTCTTTGTATGGACAAATTTTTTCTCTGTCTAAATTCATAGCTGTTTTAAAATCACTGGTTTGAGGATCTATGGCAAAATAATGAGGTGGTTGACTTAGAAACGAGTACTTCAGCTTATCTGTGTGACTATCGTTATGAAATTCTCCAAGTTTGGCATCGATGAAAATGTTACCCAGTGTCACATTAGCCCCCTGTTCCTCTGTGATATTATACACAATATCAACACTTCCACAACAATTCACCAGGATCGACAGAATCCACAAGTTTCTCAGCATTGAGCCCATTGTGGTTCCGTTTTGTCAAGCAACCTCTAGCAACAATGTGTCAGCTACTTGATTTTTCTCCATTAAATTTAAGATTTTCCACTTTCCGTTGAGCACGATCCACTCAAGTCCCAACACCCTGAAGCAAGAAAATAACACAATCTGTTCAATATTGACACTTGTATTTATATCTAAATCATAAAAGACTTTGTGGAAATTAAATACCGCAATGATAACAGAGACATTGATAAGACTTCTAGTAATTAAACTCCAATATTTAAATCAAACACGGGTATTAAAAAGATCCAATTGAGAGACTGCAAAGTATTTTTGAAATAATCATCCCAATAAGTTATGGAAAATTTCCTTCACAATGCAAGAAAAATATTCTGATTATATAGCCCTTGGCTTAAACTTATTTTATATAAACACCAAGACAATACATTGGTCCCTGCAATGAAATTTACTCCCAACATTTCATTTTTGAAACAGAAAGATCAAGTTGATATAACCTAAATATTTCAAAACAACTTTTAATCTTTTTTTAAAATCAGCGTGTATTTTTTATTTGCCACGTGAAGTGTAAAATTTTCTTTCCATAAATTGCCCGAGGCTAAGCATTAATAAAATTTAAGATTTTTGAGAAATTGAAAAAAATTAATAAAAAGTAACATTACATCTCAGTATCTGATGTACTGCTTCACATTTTTATATTTTGTATCTTAAAGTTTTTTTCAATGCATGAAATACCAAGATAGCAAATTTTTCTTGATATTTTTCTCCTTTATACAAACTGTAAATCTATATTCCTCATGTGAACAGAAATAAGACAGAGGGTTAATTTGTACATGATAAATCAAACCTTGTAGGTTTTATACATAATGTTTCCTAACAGTATCAGATACTGACCACCTAGTGAATGTAATGTTATACAGAAAGTGACCAGAGCCTAGAAAATGTAACACTTCTGACCAAGAAAATTACGACAGTGCCTGATAACTTTACACATGACCCTAAAGCTCTGGCCACAAGGATAGAATTGGACTAATTATTTCTGCTTAACGTATTGTAAATAATCTTAAATATCTCAAATAAGAGTCTAACTTTAACCTACAGAATGTAATTCTTTTAAAGACAACAAATTTTATCTTACCTGTATCATTGTTTAGTCCTATTTCTAAAATATTTTGGCTAAAAAGTACACAAAAAAAAGACCAGAAATAAAATCTCTTTCTACATTTGTTACTTATACTCATTATTTGAAAACTAACATAATAAACCTGGATTTCCAAACCATGAAGCAGATTAGAGTCAAGATCAATTGAACTTAGCTCCACCCACTTCTGCTAACTAGCCAATCAAACCTCTGCCTTATCAACAGGTTAATCTATCAATCATGTGTATTTTACTCTCTTGGTTTTTTTCCTTCTTTACAAACAATAAGCCTCACCTTCTGGCCTATAATCAAAAGCACCCTGGTGTTGGGGTCTGCTAATGAATGGTTTAATTCCTCCCTCTGATGACCGTCACAATTTTTACTACAGCGGCATGTGGTCACACTCAGACACTACTGCAAACTGTAAAATATTAATTGCTTGTTTGTTAGTTATTTTCACTTTGTAGTATGCATGAAATCTACCTTCACAGTTTGGTAATACCACACTGATAATTTTTTAATTTTTTGTTCACCTATAGGCCTCATGCAGATAAGATTCCTAAAATCTGTGGGAAAATTTAATATTTCTTTGTTAATGTATATACGGTATATTGTTTTTCAAAATTTAAACAGTTCTCAATTTTTTATACAAATGTATCAAATTACTTCAAAATTATCTTACTCTCTTTAAATATAAGAACATGAGAAATAAATATCTGGTATATAAAATATATCATTTAGGCCTATCATTACTATTTATTTATTAAATTTAGATACTGTAACAGAATCAGGGAAAGATAAACCACAAATTATTAAGTAAAAAAAATGAAACTTTTATTCATGAAAAATTGCAGAAAAACTAAAACAACCTAAGCACTAATGCAAATTAGGTTTAGAAAAGTCAAAGCTTCCAGGAGTCCAATTAGCCTAAATTTAAAGTGTTTGCTATGCCATTACTGAAAGTGTAAATATAATCACAACTTTTATTGAAAGACTGTCACTCCAACAAGGGAAATGAAGGACCTACTTTAATGAAATAAATAAACCAATTTACTTATACGCAGGTAAACAAAAACAGCCTTTTATAAATTTAATTGAATTAAATTGTTTAAATACAATTTCATGAAAGTCAGCATTCACGGCCACATTAAAAGCCATTTTACTTGCTAAAATGAGCAAGAAGGACATTTTGGACCATTTCGTTCAAACCTTGACACCTTCAATGTGAGGACAAAATAGCAGGGACAATAAAACTGATGAGCATTACAGAAAACTGTGACATATGAATGGGAATAGGTAAACTCTTAAATCATTGTTTGGGCATCCAGGTGGCTCCTAGTTTCCCTTGATTACATAGGTGTTGATCTTTGAAAACCAAAAAGTCTGGCCCATGGTTATTTTTACTCTTGAACTGGACACCTGAATAATGGTAAATTCTTGAGGTCAGGTGTGAAAGATAAATTCTTAAGTTTTGCTGGATAAAAAAGCAAAGAAAAACTGAGATAATGAAGAACAAATTGAGATACACCAGGCAGCTGTACCAATATTAAATTCCAGCCAAGTAATGTTAACACCCTAGCACCAGACAGTTTGAGATTTCCGACAATTCCCAACCCACCCTAAAAAGGGAGATGAAGTTCTGCAAAAAATGATTTCATACATATTTTCTAAGTAACTCAACTTCAGAAAAAAAAAATTATTAAAATTAAATCCATTTATCCTTGACTATTTCTTTTTGAGCCATTATGTGTAGCTCATATGGACGGGACAATGAAATAATCAAAGACACTTCAAACCATAAAATCTTTTAATAACTTGCAAAAGATACAAATTCAGCAGAGTACAAAAGCAGAAAATGGTCATAAAAGGGGGGAGACTTTTCCATCAAATCACTAAATTACAGCTGGAATTGGCTACATTTTCAACTTTTCACCTCACAGAGCATATTCAATAGATGAAAAGAAATGTCCTTAAAAATTCAATTTAACTTTCCCCCTCAGTGGAGCAAAAATTGTCCGAGTTGATTTCTTTTTCGATGCTTGTTTGTCCGTCAACATTACACAAACAGACATAAAACCTTGAAAAATGCTTTTGCTTGGCTCATCCCCAACAAGAATAGAATACAATGTTTTCGGCCACGGAAACTACCTATTAGTCATCTGGTTAAAGTTTTAATCTGTATCATTCATGCAGTGTAAATCTTTTAATACGGAGGTATAGGAAAAGCTGCTAATCTAGATGTGAGGAATTATAGCCGTGAACAATTCCTTCTAACCAGACAAAGGCTAACTCTAGCAAAAAATCACCTCGGTATCAGATAGGGTGACAAAAATTCAATAAAGCGGTGCCACATACAGAAATAACATTTATAAGATTTCGTGATATGCTCCAACATTGTTCAAACCTACTCAAAGAGAACCTATAAAAATGATCACAGTTTTTTTTAAAGCTCACAGGTCATATACAAAAGTTCAAATTTTCAGTTCACTGTGTTTTAACAAGTATTGTCTTTTAAAAAAATTAACAATATCCTTCCTAATAAACCTGCCTTGTTTAAATGGATTCAGACTAATTAAAGCAGAGTGTCATGAAAAAAGAAACACATGAAGAGGAAATCATAGGGATTCACTACAGACTAGAAATCCTAAATATACCACAATGCAATCCCAATCCTTTCACAGACAATGTTTTCTATTATTATGAAATATTCCTTTATTTGGAATAGGGAAATCATAATGACTTAGTCAACACAAGATTAGTGGTTTTCTCTCAAAGTCAAATAGCTGTAAAATAAGCTCATCATTAGAGGGATAATGCATAATCCATTGTACTTGATCAGTCTCACCTCTAATAACAATTAAGTACATATACCTAGGTGGACACCTTGTTATATATGCAGGTATATTCCTGACATTTATTAACAATATACCTCCCCCTAAGAAGTATAGGAGTGGCAAAAATTATTCAATTTTCAGACAATCTGTCTTAAGAAATCACAATCAGGGACTATTTGCAGCTTCTTATTCCCTATTTAAGTGTGCATAAGCCTCTGGCTTGACAAATGCACACAGTAGAGGCCATCTTGTATTGACAAACGGTTTATACAATTATTTCTTTTAAGCTTATCATGGCAAGGTGAATCATTTGTCGGCATTGCAGTCAGCTCCCCGGCTTAAAGAACACTCCGATCGGAGTCAATTCTTTATCATGAAGTGATGTAATAGTGGTCTACCCTTCACAGAAAAGTCCGACTTCCCTAGCAACCCCTACCCTACAATCACCCAGAATCAATATCAGGAACTAAATATCACAGACCAATGCCGCAGAGGAAACAATGGACAGGTAATATAGACCGGTCAGGGAAAGTGACGTCCCCTCGGTCCCTCCCTGAGACGAGAATTCCCCGTTGATACGAGCTGTCAGTATGAAGTCCCTCTCCTTAGAGTACTCTACCTTGGCCATGGAGACCAGAAGTCCCATGTATCATCAATTCGTCCACTTCCTAATAATCAGCTGATTGCTAGTGTGAAATGTACACTGTAAACAAAGGTATCTTACGAGTGGCTACTGATATAGCTGTTTACTGACCATGGCTTTTCAAATTAATTAAGACGTCTCATAAATTGACCTACAAAAATTTCATGAACTTTCACTCTCCGGAATTCATTTAAAACTTTGCCCTATATATTTCATCATTTAACTTTTAAATAAAGTAACCATTTCAAAGGTGGATTTACTTTAATTTATTTACAAGTTGCTAAGCACAAATCAAGAATTCAATACACCTACTTCAACTTCAAAAACTCCAAAAATAATGGACTTCATAGGAATGATACACAGTAACCCAACCTTATTATCAAAATCAGGTGCCCTCTATCTGACAACAAACAAAAGATTGGACAATAATTCCTCCAAGTAAACTTTTCATTTTCTGAGATAGACTTGATTCCTCTAGTAATTCCTGCATTATCTCAGCCCATATCTCTGCTACATGGACAATGTATGGGTTTTCTGGAATCCTAATTCATGGTATCGACCATCCCCATTGTTTTAACTCCCTAAGCAAGGTGGGAGAGGGCAAGCTAAGCCGACATGAGCTCTCTGTTTGTTCTAAGACAAATCCTGTTTGATCCTTTGCCTCGTAAGAGCAATTTTAACACCTGAAGATTGCATATTATTAATGGGAATATGAATGTTGGTCGATACTGGCTTTGCCAGGTGAAAATGAATTGCAGCTTTTAATTGACTGCATTGTTGAAACAATGAAAAGATCCTAGTTCCTAAAACATGCCACAATTATTAATTCCTATGTGTCCTAAAGTCATCTATGCTTTGTTATTTACTAAATGACACAACTTCTACATGCATTTTACCATTTTTTGTCAGCAATGTGCAATACAAATACCACATTCCTTTCCCATTTGTTTCAGGTTCTGAAACATCTTTATGATAAAAATTTTGTTAACAATACTAGAAAGATATATATAGTAACAAGCAGGTGAAGAAAACTACTGAAATAGCAAAGATGGTATGTGACAGAAAACTGTTACAAATCTGTAAAACAGTTATTTAAAGTTCACAAAAACACAAAACTTACATAATCTTAGCATTCTTCTATTCTGATCATTTACCTAACTGAAAAACCAAACACCTGTTATAATTTATTGGCTAATATTATGAACTCGCAATTCACTTAAAATTCTTCACTTTTTAAAAAAGAAATATATATAAAAGTACACTCACACACACATGAATATTTTTGTTAATTCTAATTTAGATCCACTCAATATTCACATCATTTCTCTTTCATTACTGGATGTAATCTAAATTGAGGTCCTGGTATATAATGAAAATCTTAAAATCCTCCTCATATATTTCAAACACAAACACACCAAACATTATAGTGATCCAAATATTTTTTGTTAATAAACTTATAAAAATATATACCCCTAGGATTATTACATAGATACAAGTCTCAATTACAACTCAACATATTGACCATCTCTTAAGATAACACAACATCAAGGTGTAAAAATTTATATAAAAACTAATCTGTTCACACTTAATTCATGTACAAGATGAGAAATTTACAGCTTTGTACATTTCAAAGGCCAAGTCAGCCTCAGGCAAGAGTTGTCCACCCTGGCTAAACATACTTTTTTGGGGTAGGTATCTTTGATGTAAATAATACCCATTTGTTAAAAGATATGATCAATCAATAATAATATTAACACCTTTGTTAGCTCACATTCTTAGCTAGGGTCAGTGGTACCTAGGCTTTTGATAAAGGGAATTTCTTCCTGGAGTGTCATTAAAACTTCATTGTTTTGGCATCAAATCTCTGTAAACATGGGTGTTTTTCACTTAGTTTGCCAGATCTTCTTTTGACAAGCTGGTAAATTTTCATCAAAATAAATGAGTTTTGGTAAATTCAACATAAAGAGTGTATGAACTCTAACACAATCTTTAGCCAGATAGGGCATTGCCTGGGAATCTGCAAATCAAAACAAGACTTCTGCAAACAAATCAGTGAAGTTTTATTTCCAATTAAAATGGTCATACTATTAAAAAGAATACCAAAATTTTGACTAAGAAGAATTTTTCATTTTCTTGCCTCAGTGTACATCACTTCAGTTGTGTACTCAAACCTATAGCCCCTAAGATGTAAACTTGTTCATGAACAATAAGTAATATTTTTTCTCCTCTAAGGCCCAAATGGCATTTGTGAAGGACATTTATACAATAGTTACAGTAACAGCCCCCCTTCCTTCCCATTCTATGAGCCATCTCTTCCCACAGTGGACCTTTATCTCACTGAGTGCCCTGTCACAATGGACCATCTTTTGCCTGGCTCTGGACTTCACTTTCTGATGGCCAACTTGCCAATTAGTGAAGTATCTGTTTCAGTGTCCAACTGTGCTCTCCAAACTCTTGAAAAGACTGTAAGGACTAGCCCGCGGTCTAACGAGTGTTTGTTACAGATATTAGAAGTTCAGCTCTAGCTGTGGGGAGGACTGGGTATCAGGTAAAACAGCTTAATCAGACAAATATCTGTTTACTGTTGATACCCCTGCCACCTTAAGATTGTCAATACAAACAAAAAAGATAGCAGCAACCGGCCAAGATGACAGAAGTTTACTTGAAGCAGACATTTACTCCTGTACAAATGTTACAACTTACGGATTCAATACAAATATATAAATCACTTTTATTGGTATACCAGACCATTTATCAATATAAGAATTCATATATATTATACAATAATTTCTGTTCTTACATGTTTCTAAATTTTCATTTTATACTTAACTTCAATACTTAAAACATACCATATCCATTTTTGATTATGAAAAAGTTAAGGCACTTTAAAAATGCCCTCAGGGAAGCTTAAAGGGAAAAACCTATAAGCCAATGCAAATCCATCATCCAAAAATAATCAGCAAAGCAAATTAAGTCCTCCAATCTTTAATTTCAACATTTGTTACAGTCGCCAAATGTTAATAACTTTGGTGCTTATATGCAAATCATACAATACCACACAGACGAGCCATTTATTGGGGAAGGGGGGCACTCGAGCTGAAGAATCCCCTACAAAGTGTCCCCACAATGTAGAACTGAACACAGCTTATAGACAGAGGAAGATTAGAGGCAATCAAACCTCCATCTATCATCATGCCTGTGACAAAAACATGTCACCTCGTTAAAATTTTACACCATTTTAAACAATTTGGAAGTTCAGAGGGTCAGATGATAGATGGGGGTCCCTCATCCAGTCCTGCTCTGGGACAAAAAAGATTATCAAACAGTTACCAGGAAACTCTACCCTTTCATCTTCTACTCAGGCCTTTAAATTAGGAAAAATTTCAATTTCAGCTACCTACTGTCTTGACATAGATAGGTATTCAAGGAACTGCTACAGACAACTACTAATTGAGTGAATTGACATGGTTTCAATTCAGCATATACCTAAAGTAAAACCTACTGAAAGAGAATATAATTTAAACTTTAAAAAAAATCATGTTAAAAAGTATCAATTTGATTGATGAAAAATTTGTTTGAAATAATAATTTGTAGTGTTTTAATAATGATTGAAGTTTTAAGCTGAAGAATGCACAGGCCCAGGTATTTCTTGACAATTAAAAATGCATGAACTGCATAGATTTTGTTAATAGTATGTGCATTATTTCTTATCTAATCTATATTTTCAGAAATCAAACATTGCTAGCCAATTGTTTAGCCACTGACAGAGTTATATCTTTGATTTTCTGCAATTTTTATGAGCTGAAGTACTAGTTAATGGTGCACTCATTTTTCCATTATCTGCAGACCTGGAAGTTTACTGTGAATTGTACTGAACACTATGCCAGAAAGCATCAAATTATTGTCAGATTTTACGAAATGCATGATCAAGTTGCCTTTAGCTTACGTTAATTATAACTTTGGTAAATGGCAATTGTTGCTTTGAATCAATTCCTTTTCTTGGATTGATTTTAAAAATGCCAAATCTTTACTGTAAAAAACACACCATGCATGTTTCTAAATCAAATAAGAATTATAAAAAGTCATGACATTTCTTACTACATTGAAACCCACTTGAGATAGTTTACAGAGTGCTGGTGAGGACACTGACTACAAAACAGGCCACCAGTTGGTCAATGTGACACCTGATCAGCCCTCAGCACATCAAATAAACTCCCAGTGTTCATCTATAAAATATGTAGATGATACAAAGTTTTATATCCCAATACACAGACCAGCCTTTCAGGTACAAATTGTCAGAACAATGAGATATTAGCAGATAAGAGTGTTTAGTCATTAAGGATTTGTGTGTATTAATCTCATACAAACCACAGGGTCTGGTTTATAAGAGAGACCGGTGGCTATACAGACCCTGCACACTACAGCTGGTGGACTGAACATGTGACCTTAAGCTTCCTTACAGCACTTCCAGACCCGATTTATGTTTTGTACCGACCTCTCCTTAAAATACATTTGTACAAAACTGATTAAAAATGCTAGCTTGGAAAAAGGGGGGTTCCAGATCATAGAATATTAGGTAAAGACAGTATTGCACACTTATACTGAAAGAAGGTTGAAATTGTAGTACATAGTTTCATAATGACATAAACTCTGATGTTTTATTAACCAATTCAAAACTGCATTTTGGAGTAAATTGAAAGATTTTCTATTTTTCATTGAAAAGCCAAGGAGTGTCTATTAAAGAAATATAAGCCTTTTGACTCTTTGGGAAATAGTACAAAACTTTTTGTTGGAGTAGCATTTAAAAAAGAGATGTTTGTGAAACACTTGTACTCTTTCTGAAAATCAAAACTGATAAAAGATAATTATGTATCATAGTAAAGTCTACTTGTGTACAAAATGTATTTCAAAAATCAGACTAAAACTATAGAAGAAGTAGAGTTTAAAAAAATTAATTATTTCACAGAAATTTCCATTTTTAGTATTCTTGGGAAAACCTTTTGTTTTAAAAACCATTTCAAAATTGATATATATATATGGATATTTAATCGCTATATCCATAATTCGTTATATCCGTATAACGAATTCGTACAAACATTTATAGCGAGTTCGCAATATGAATGTTTTCCTTCAAGTATTACTACCAAATATGTTAGGGAAGCAAATATTATAAAACATACCTTCGATAACTAAGGTTTTATTATGAATTGAATTTTATATACAAATGCTACAAGAAAATAAAGTCAGTTCAATTTAGCAAACTTTAAGATCTTTGAAAGTTCGTTATTAAAGATGTAAATTTCATTATATTTAACCTCATCGGGACTCAAAATGAGTTCGCTATATCCATAAATTCGTTATAAATTATAAGCGTAAAATTTTAGAGTTGGACAGAAAAACTATATCTGTGAATTCGCTATATCCGTGTTCGTACTAAACGAGTTTTACTGTATATGGATATATGTACCGTGTATATCTCTAATGGTATATAATCCAATTGTGAACAAGTCTTTCTCAAAATCAGTCCAAAACCGAAGGAGTAGCCTTTTTGAAAATTTGCTAATTAATGGACAGACAGAAACCTTATAAAGGTACAAGGTCTTCTGGTCTCTGACCAGAAAAGCTGAAAACCTATTTCCTTCCAGGTGTAAAATTATTAGTTTTTTTTTTTTCAAATACACACAAAAAAAAAATCCCAGTGAAAACTTTACCTCCTGCTCTGTTTGATGTCCATATCACTGCCTGTAGCAGCTGCTCCTTTATTGTTTCCTCTGCAAAACAAGATTCAGGTTTATCTGGAGTGCAGTAGAAATGTAGGACAATAACTGTCTTGAATGACAGACAACATTGATAACTTATCAACTCCTTAAAGATATTCACAGATAAACAATAGTCAATTTCTCATTTTATGCATTACATGTTGATATTAGAGACTCTTAATCCTAAAATTGTGACAACATGTTGCATGAACAAGCTGTTGAAACTCAGTTAAAATTTCTTATGTTAAAACAGTTCCTTACTCTGTATTTAATACTGTACTTTTAGATTTTTAAAAAATCAAATAGGGAAAAAATAATTGAAGATATCTTCTTCTGCTAAGTCAGTGAAATCAAATTGACTTACGCAGTGAAACATGGAATAATTTAAGTACGGTACAAAACAATATACTCTATGCGAAACAAGACAGAGCAACAGCCAAGAATTTCCAATTTATTTGGAGGTGTGAAAATGAGTAATATATCCACACTTAATCATTGTATGAACATGATACCTTTACATCAATACATTAAATTTTTGAGTAAGAAGACTGTCAAATGTATGATATTAATATGAGTTACATGTCCCTCTTAGAGTAGAAACTTTGTTCTTTAAAGCTCCCCTGTGTAGAAGGTGTTGTATTGTAACTGTAGTGACACTTTATCAAGAGTAAATCTGATACGGTGTCAAGAAATCCTACCCTGGGTTTCATTTCATCCAGAATTTTTCACTCCTGTGTAATAACTGTACATTTGTCCCTCTCCTCATTCCATATCTACAGGCAGGAGATGAAAACATAGTATCCATTCTAAACAACAGAAAAAAAGATGGAAAGAATAATTCAAAAAACAGACAACTAAACATTTACTGTACCAGGGGTATATACTCAAGTATTGTTTGATATTTTGTTTTAGGTAGAATGATTTGATTCATACAATAACTGTAACCAAGCAATTAATAACTGTCCAATTATTTCTAGTTTTCTGTTCAACAAATTCTGCATTGCAACTTTTTTTTGATAGATACTGTTACATTTTGAAATACCACTGGAGAAAAAAAGGACAAGTGGCCCTAATGGTCCAAAATGCTCACCTGAGTCAATCTGGCCTTACTGTTCTGAATAAGATTATTTTCCCAATATACATGTATTTCTTTGCATTTATAGGATTACTTTTTGTTGCTCGACCCTTTGAAAAAAACTTGAATATTCACTTTCATAGACTGCTTTTTCATTAGTTGCAGCTTTTTTGGCACAATGGTTCTTGAGAAGAAGATTTTATAGAGTTTTTCTTTGAATATTTCAATGTAAATATTTGATCTACTATTGTATCTCCACCCTATCCCCTGGGACAAAGATCTAAACAATTTACAATCCACACAACCTCAACTTGCAGCTCAGGTGAGCTAAAAACCAGCCTCAGTGAAAACATATCAGGACTTATCTACCAAGTGGAACTTAAATGTATGTTGGTGTCCTGTCTAGAAAGGATATGACTTAAAAAGTAAAAACCAGACTTTAAAAACACTATCAAGAAAATCTCCTCCAGATTTAGTATCATGTTTTATCTGATCTCAAAATCAGACAAAAAAGGAAAATATGGTCTGTGCATTTCAGTACAATTTTCTGTGCATCAGTGGAAAGGGAACATTGGGTGCCTCTTATTAAAGTATAATTATCAAAATTTCATCAAAAACTTTAGCTGAAATCCCATATTATTTAGATTAGGGAACAAGAAAAAGTAGAATTTAAATCCATTTTTATAATAAAAAAATATCTCTGGTGCCTTGATGCTACATTTGATAACTAAAACTGGCAACAAAAAATGTCTGTAGAGAAATGAGCTAGCAGATTGGATATATATTTGGACCACAGACCAATGGATTGTGAGACATTCTATAACATTCTGGGGTCAACAGGTCACTCTGAATAATAGCTCGGCAGGATCAAATGACTAAACATTTACCTTTAGTAGGCCTGTGTATACAAAAAAACTGCCATTTAGAAAAACAATTTAGGATGTAATTAAAGATGAATCAAAAGAGATAAGCTATTCTAAGACTAAACTGATATCAAATACAATTAAAACCTTAACTTTTTTAAATTGAAGATTGCCTAAAATCAGTAGGTGTTAAATTCAGATTGATAGACTGAAAAATCACACACAGTTGTTGATGCCCATCAAATCAAAAAATAATTCAATGTTCATAATAACCCCACGTCGACCTTATTTGGCTGGGATGATGGCAAATAGGCAAGAGCCCTAGAAGTCATTATATGTGGGGACCCAGGTATGAAAATTTAACAGTATCAATCAAAACGTATTTATCACCTTCATTTGAAAATCATCACAGGAAAATCTGATATTAAGTAGAATTAAAGCTTCAATAAGATTGGGTAAACCTGATAGTTAGAGGGAGCTCTTTGGCAGAGAGAGGAAAGAATAACCCACTCATCACTGGGTGACAAGCCTCTGTTACTCCTGACTGGTTCTTTATAAAGTTGGGTTTATATGCTACAATGAAACAAATATTTTATGCATTAGCACATTGTTTTTAAAAGCTTTAAAAAAATGTGAAAAGTGTTTAAACACAAAACTTCTGTATAAATTGAAAGCTGTGAACATTCATATTTTTGCACTAATTTGACTTTTGTAACTTGTACTTGATATCAGCCTACTAAAATGTTGATAAAATAATAATTTTAAAATTATATAGTAGCTATCAGAATGTTTACAAAAGATAACTTTTTTTCTTTTCAAACATTTTTAGTTTCGATAAAAATTAAAGAACAATAATTAAACCGTATCATATTTAGTTATGGACAGAAAAAATTGATGGAGAGAAAAACATAAATGACAATCTTTTAAATGAAGATATAAAGTCAGTGACATCTTCCAAAAATAACAAATACTATTTTTCAATATCAATCAACTCTGTATGTCCTTGTTTACTTAACACTGACTTTAATAAGCTGCTTTTTCATTCAAACACAGAAATAATGCAAACATATCAATTTTCCCCAATCATTCTATAGTTCCTCTACCCAGGAAGCCTCCATTCAGCTTACTGGGTGTCCCCTTGTACCTGTATTCTAAGTTTTCCAACAACAAGCAGCATTTTCCTTTCAGTGTCAAAAGTTACAATGTACGAGTGCTAAAGCCGGAGGCCTATGTATGGTGAGACTGACACTGAAGGCGACAGAAAACTGCACAGTCTATCCCCACCATTATCATTAATGTATGTAATGACACAGCTTAAGCAAACAAGTAGAAAGGTACAAAATCTGACTGCGAATCCTGACATAGATTTAATTAACCTGTCTTTGTTGCCTTTGCCATTTGTTAGCCCCCTTTTGTCGGTTTATAAACAGTTAGCAATTCACATTTGCTTCCTTAAAATGGACTTGAATTATTACAAATATTAAAAATATTTTACAGAATTTTTTTTCTTCAATATATTAGTTTCATCCAATTATGATAATAATTAAATCAAGATGAAATGCAAATTTTTATACAGCAGATACTATAAAGTAAATGAAGAATTACTGTTACTATATTTAGGTTTGAAAGAGTATAGGAAAAAACTATTGTGTCAGAGCAGAGAAGGGGTTTTTCTTTTTTCTGTTTGCTGAAACATTTTCATTTAAATATACAGTATTTGCGATGGTAGCAGTCTTCCTACATGCAAGACAACTACATGCAAGACAAACAACCAAGAATCCCTTTATATCAAAATATCCCTTACCAAAAGTAAATCTACATACTTTTTGTTTGTTAGAAAATAGATCTCATCACCTTACAAAGTCATTACAAAAGATTTACCCCATTAACCCTCCTACCAACAAAAAATCGACACCAAAATAAAATAATCTATTTTGCAGTAGCATTCATGGAGCTGTTTCTCTCTGAAGGATTAGCAGGTGATCCATTTCTTGCCATTAAAATCTGAGCTGTGTTGTCTGCTATCTGCAGCATTGTCCGAGCTGACAGCCCACCATTACCATGTCAGCAGAGATGCAACTTTAATTGCAGGTTTGGGGAGGGGATGGTTGCTAAGGGTGTCATCACCAAATCCAGTGAAGTCACCCGACCGTGAACATCCGTCACCCATCTGTCCAAGTATATAGCCTGATACTGATGGAGGTTTCAGTGACCATGACAAGAAGTGAAAAACATCTGGAAAATTAAACCAAAAAAACCCAAATGACTAAAGTTAAAGATGCACATTCATTCTGAATGAAAAAAAAATGGAATTTACTATTCACTTGCAATTTGTGTTCAAATTATCATTTAGGATCAATAACTAACATCTTTTAAACATGCGGTCCTTTGGCCACAGCTCTAACCTTTGCTCATCTTTGTTCTGTTTTTTTGTTTTTAACATCATTAAGTTTTTCTTTGTATTTTCATGAAAAATTTTGACCCAATATTGTGGCCCCATCTAATTCCTTAATTAAGAGATTAAGGCTTTCCATTTCAACTAACTTAAATTCTCTTCACCCAAAGATTCTTTGCATTTTTTTTGATGAAACTGAAAATGATCCAGTAATCAAAAATGCTCTTTGGAGCCTTTGGCTCAGGTGAGCAAAAAAAAAAATAAATGTTTGAAGCAAAAGAAATATAGGTCATGTGTAGATGGCAGAAACTTGTTTGAAGTTAAATCAAGTATATGATGAATACATGATCAAAAGGGATGGATGCACAGAAACATAAACAATGAGATATATGTGAACATGACAAAGGAATTTTTACAATGCATTTTCTTCCAAATACCATAAAGTCTTCAAAGATTTAAAATTTTATGTTGCAAAAACTCTGTTTTATCCCAAGTAACATCATCATTTCAATTTATTTTTACGACGACTGAACAAAGCACGTCGTATAACAGGAGGCGACATGCACTTATCCTTTTAGCCCTTTGATTTCCAAATCTTTTGTGAATTTACATAAATACATTATTTTTGCTCATTTCTGAGCTTAACCAAATTCCAATAGTATGTGTGCGTGTGTTTTGTTTTTTTTTTAAGTTCCCAAACATCAATTTGATTGTATGAAAGTCAGCCAATATGCAAATAAATATGAATCATTCTTTATATTTTATTTTACCTTTAATTTTTATTACTGTTGTCATCATTGCAAGTACTTTTGTTTGCGGTTAGAGACAATGGACCCCCAGTGATGTATTTTTAAATCATAGTACATGTACATTGTACATATACTAAAAAATTAAGAAATCCAAAATATGTTCTGTATCATTTTAAGTTTGTTTTAAAAGCTTGTAATCCTAATTTTTCTTTTCCCTGTAGTGTCTCTGTCTTACTCATTCTGTAGCATTCTTACTTTTTACTTTGAGAAATTCAATGAAATAAATATCAAGTGCAACCTAAAAATTTCCTTTCGTATGGTTAGAATTGGGTTAATTAAGATTTAATTTTATATCTTCATGCTCCGTACATTCTAGGAATATTTGAAGAAAACTCTCTAAAAATTATTGTAATTTGATCTAAATAAAGTACTGAAATTCATTGATGGGATGTACAAGTACCAGATTGTTTACATTTTCTAGTTTCCGTGGTTGGTCTAGTTTACAATTTCTCAGCTATCAATAATTTACATCTATCAGGATATATAAAATTTTCATTTGAATAAGCAAAGCAATCTGTTAAGCTATATCATTCATACTGAACATGCTCATTTCCTCCCAGATACATTTATTACATATACTGTTACAAATTTGTACCAAAAAAATCAAATGTTTAGATAAGTATATTTAGGTAGTTGAAAAACAACTGTGAAATGAACATTGATATTAACATCCTGTTTGTTAATCTGTCTCAAGTAAATCGAATTCATAATCAAGTTTTATGAAATGCAAAATACTAGAATTTTTATCTTCATGCACCTATCTGAATGAATGCAAAGCCAAACTATATCTATATACATGTGTGCCTAGTTTTAAAGAATATTGACGTATAGATTAAAGTTCACATCAATTAACAAAACACATAGGTCAGAGGGTAGACATATTGAATGGTGGTCAGCTGTATTCAAATCTAAAATTCAGGTATTTCCCATTAGCCTGTAGGTGTTGAAAACTTTGGGATAGCTAAGTGGAAGAGGGGGCTCTTAATTTCCCAGGGGAGTTGTAGTTCTCAATATTACAGCAACACATTTAGCAATCTTACAAAAACTCATTACACAGTAAATCCTATGAAATTTGAAACTAAACTCTTATAATTTCATCCGATACAATTCAATGAAATGTTCTCGTTTTAATTTTCCTCATCTCAAAAGGAACTGTAAGAGGATTAAACCTTTTAAGGCTTTTTTTCTGCAGGCATACATGTAAAATTGCCTTGGATAGCTGTTTATAAACTAGAAGCCAGTAATTTGTGTGGCTCTCATCTCTAGACAAACTCATAATCGCAGCAGGGGGACAATTTCAGAGGACGAAACTCTACCCTTTTATGTTTAAAGGCACAGACTTGTAAAGATGTTCATCTTCATAAAAGTATAGGTTCCCAATGATTTCTGGCCAATTTTTTGCATTTTTAGATTGAGGTCTACAATTAAAAAAGAAAAGACCCAATGAAGTGCAAACCTGAGCAAGGGTGCTTTAACATCTCAAAATCACACGAGGAACCCTTAAAGCCAGAAAACATCACAGGACTCTTGTAGGCCAACAATTTCTATTACTATCTCCAGGCCATATAAATCAAATTACCTACTATTTATTTCATCTGATATACAGCACTTCATCTTTGACAAACAATTATTGTAAGAAGAGTGAAATTGTAGTCAAATATTTAAAATGCTCTGATCCTATCTAAAAAGAGAAGGGATGAAATTTGAATCCTGGTTGTAAGGGAGTCTAAACACTACCAATCTACACTTAGTTGAACAATGGAGACATTGAAAATCGGACTCCAAAATGTACTTCTCCTTGGTGTCACTAGCTATCATTATATATCTCAACAATGACGGATTATAGCTCCCTGCCTCATAACAATAGAAAACCTAATCTCCACACAGATACAAGTGATGATATTTCTAAAATGTATAAAAATTCTTTTTACTCCTTATATCTTCAAAATTACAGATGGTGCATTCATATGAAAATACTATATAGAGGAAATTTTATACATAGTGATACAAAAAAAGGCACTATATGTAGCAATATGATTTACTGCTCCCAAATCCCTGCAGCAATTTTAACTATTGAAATCTTTTGTAATATTGTTTTGTATGCTTTGGAGATAAATTATAATTCAAAATAAAAATCTTTTTAATCATAATTTTGTAAAATCAAATTTAGAGAATGCATCTTTAGTTCCTCTATTTGAAATGTCAAAAGTGCAATAAAAGTTGGAGCTCCAAGACAAAACTCCTTGGAGAAATTCAAGCTAAGAGATTTTCTTTTCCAAGATTCTCTGTAGCGAAACTCTGTACAAATTTGACTAAGTCTGTGCTCTCTTGAGACAGGGAATTAAGAAGAAGTGGACTTAAAATACAGAACAGCAAACAGCCTTGTCACCAGCGAAGCGCCATGGATCTGACTAATGCCGACAGAATTAGAAAGAAACATTCACCTCCGCTGGTATCTGACTACTGAAACAGCTTAAGTAATCGGTAAAATAAACAAACACGATATTCTTCAAACTTGAGAATTGCAACTCATCCTTTTGGATGACAATCAATTAGACAGGGATTTAAATTTTTTCACACATGGGTTCCCAATGTTACGAGAAATCTAACCGCTACCTGGCGTAAGGGTATAATCTACACTCAAAATTTCCAATTGCTAGCTACTATCAAATTGAAATCAAAAGTAGAATATTAACTACTGAACAGATATTTTTTGTTATTTCCTGTTCAATCACATTTGCATACTTTAACTTTGTTTTTTGATTTTTAATTTACTTTTTTTTTTAATTTCAAAATAAACCCTTTAAAAAAATGCACCACTTTATATTTAACAAGTTAGTACAAATAATTTGTCAGAAATGCCCTTTTTTTTGTTCTTAAAAAGAAGAGAATATTTCCTTATTTAAAATCTGGGCTGATGAAGTGATTGAGGCAATGCTTATCCGATACATACTGAAAACATTTATTAAAAATACACAATTCACAACAAGTAATATTTCTGTATCTCTAAAGTATTAAAAAAAATATAGATACTCTGTCAAGTATATGACTGCATGTGTCTTCTTATAATGCCCTTATGGTTTCTTGAAACTTTAAAAAAATAGGGATAGTTGTAAGCAGATATCTTTCCTTTTCTCTACATATATTACTGATATTTTGATTCATATTTTGCAAAGCTTGTGAATAAAGTCGAAAAAATATATTATATATTTAAGAAATTCTTTTCATACTTATGTCTATGCATGATCATCTCCTCTCATACAGCCACTAAAATACAAAACTGTACATACAGTACATGTAGATACAGCTGTAGTTGCTTTGAAAAAAAAAAAAATTGGACAAAGGGAAATAACTCTCACAAAGACCGCCCTCTTTCATTCTACTATATTTCAAAATTTACTTACAAGGCTCTGTGAATTTGTACCCAATTCTTTATAAACTAACCAATACTTTATCATAAAGTTTATATATTGGTAACACACAAGAATTACTTGTATATATATTTTAACCTGATCCCTGGGGCAGGGCAAGAATGTAAAGAGGGTCACCTAGAAAAATTGTTTTATTTCCAACAAAAACAAATTTCTGATATACACTATATAGAGGATATTCAATATTTTGTATAAATTCCATATTCAACTACACTGGACCTTCAGATAAGCCGAAGCCAGATATCCGGATGCTTCAGTATCCGGACGATTTTTCATCTGAACAAATTTTTTTAACGTTATTTTGTCTTGTTTTACTGGTAATTCAGATATCCGAACGCTTCACATATCCAGACAAGTTGACTAGGAACCAAAGCGTCTGGATAAATGAGGCTCCACTATACAAAATATTGAATTTTCTGTTTATTTCATTTTCTTTGATTTTCTCTTTGCCTCCATCTTTTTGTAATGCAGTCTTAGGCTACATGACATCATAATTGAGCGGCTGAGACATCATAGCTAAGTGATAAACATTGTAAACATGAATTTCAGCAACATATTTGGGGAACTTTCGCAGTCTTTAGCACTGCCAGAATGGTTTATTAACTAGTCATCTATCTTATAACAGGTTAAGAAATATTTTTTACTGCACTCTTCGTTATGGGAATTAAGGGAAATCTCGAGTTTTTCTGTACTTCTGATATTTGTCACACTGTGAAAATATATCATTTTGATATCCTTTCACACTGTGACAGAATATCAATTTTATTCAATGAATAAATTTCACTGCTGAAAATGTAATAAAAGAAATTTCAAAACTTAATTTATAGATTGTATGCACATTGCACTCACTGTGTGATTTGAAAACATTGTACAAGACTGTACCCATTTCCGTCCTCTTGAGAGTACACTTTCCATTTTAGCCAGACTTGTAGAATCTAAAAAAGGAGAAACCAGTAAAAAAAAAACAATGAAATGAAAGTTCTATTTTCATACTGTCTTTGCATGAATACAAAGGATACTTATTTTAAATGATTTGTGGTATTTTGGGGGTACTTTCAAGATTTATTTGAGAGTTTCAGTCTCATAAAAATTTCTTTACCAGGATACATAAAAATCCAGTCAAATGTGTGACAGTTTAATGGGTCATTTTATGAAAACCAAGCTTCTGCCCTACCTCCTTACCCAAAGCCTAGTCTTCTCAGACCAGTGATGATTTGATGGGCCTGACTCACCCCCACACCTGACAGTCAACCAAAAAATCTCCTCCTCCACTATTTTTGCATTACATCTCCAGTTAGTCAATGAAGTCAGGGCACCTGTTATTGGAAGGAATCTTCTTCTGTAGGACTGGCAAATCCTTAACTAGCTTCCTACATGTAATTGTGACATAGTCAACATTTTCTAAAATAAAAGTAGATATACTTGAAAATGAATACATTTTATTAATTAACTTTGCATCCAACAATCAAAGGCAAATGAAATTACCCTTATAGTCTTTTTCACATCAGAATTCTGTGGAGTTTTTAATGTTTGAAGAGGACCTATATTAACGGATTTCGTGGGTCATCCCTGCCCATGATTTTACATCCTCATATTTATTTTGTTAACATAATTAGGGATGTGCGATTTTATCGGTATACCGGTATATCGCGATTTTTTGTTCCATGATACGTATCGTGATACGGAGACCTAAATACCGGTCTTTAAGCACATATTATAAAGTCCAGAAATTATTCATTTATTTGTTCAATCTTTCAAATTACAATTACAGAAAGTATAAAAAATGTTGTAAAAAGTGAAAAGAACGGCACCTTACCGTCCAAACATAATTATTTTATATAAATAAATATTTCAAGAAAGTAAGATTTTGTTTTCCTAACATTTTTTTCAGAAAAATGATGACTTTTCACATAAAATCATTGTAAAAACTGCTTTTAAAAATATCATATTATCGTGATATTGTGGGATAAAAATTGTGATATATCGCGATACGAAATTTTTGGCGATACCCATCCTTAAACATAATAATTTTGCTAAATCTCTGAAAAATGAGTAAGTTTAAAGAAGAAATTGTGTTCGCACAAACAAGTAATTTTTTTGCTTATTTACAAAAATTAAGTCCCTTCAATTACCGGTAAAGTTATTCCATAGTAATCAATACCTGTTGCTCAATTTCTTGTTGCACGTCCTTGGAGTGGTGTTCACCCTCAGTCTGTAAAAATCACAATGACCTAAAGATGACAAAATATAATCTATATTTACCATAGCCACACATTTTCATGTAAAAATATTATGCCTCCAAAAAATGTGAAGTATATCAGAATATAGTATTCCCATGGTTGCAGGGGACATTCCTCCATTGCTCAAATTTTTATTGGTACTTCATGGATTTCTGTATCCTTTAGGGGCATTACCATGTGTCAACTCCATGTTTTCTGCCTCCTTCTTTTTCTTGTAAGCTGGCTTCTGTAAAAAGAAACCAAATATTTATATAAAACTGTGTCCTCAAACACCAACACATAAAACATTAGGTATTTTTGTTATATCTTTGAAGGTAAGTATGCAAGCTACGGAAAACCACCAATTATTATGCACAGGATGCATTTGCCTTTCAAAATTATTGGCCATTTTTGAAATGTGATTTTACTATAAGCTTGAAATCTGCTGCAGTCTCAAACTCTCAATACAGTAAGTTAACTCAAGAAATTGGTTCAATGCAGAAACTTTCAAAAAGTAGATGTATCAGTATATGACTTGTATACCCCAAACTCAAAATTCTCATTGAAGTAGTAAATTACACGAAGGTCCATTCAAGGAACAAGAATTTGTTATATCACTGAATTCCTTTCCTTGACATCATTACTCAATCAACAAGAGATGTTTGTAAAACATTTACGCCCCCAACCACCCCTCCTCTTGAACTTCCCCCAAGTAAATGGAATTTTTATAAGTCCAATGGCATAACTCTGTCAAAAATTGCTCAATTGTACCAAAAACAGAACTTAACCTAGATTTCCTTATGATTCATCTATATATTTATCATTTCAGTATTTGTAACCTTCAATGTGAAGAAAATGAGCAGAAACAGCAAGTAATCATGGTAATCGAAGTAATTGAAATTTTTCTAAGTCGAAGGAGCATAATGTCAAAAATGGCTTGATCGTTTCCAAAACAAAACTTGGCCTATATATTCTTATGAAAAATCTACATACCAAATTTTATTTCAGTATGTGTAACCTCTGCGAAGAAAATGAATGGAAACGGCAAGTAACTGAAATTCTTTTTAAGTCCAAGGAGCATAACTCTGTCAAATATGACTTGATCGTTACCAAAACAAAACTTGAACTAGATTTTCTGATGAAAAATCTGCATACCAAATTTCATTTCAGTAAGTGTAACCTCTGTGAAGAAAATGAACAGAAATTGCATGTAACTGTACTTTTTTTAATTGAATTTTTCTAAGTCTAAGGGGCATAATTCTGTCAAATATGACTCATTTGTACCAAAAACAGAGTTTGATATAGATTTTCTTATGATAAATCTGTATACCAAATTTCATGTCAGTATGTTCTAATTCTGTAAAGAAAATGAACGGAAACTGCAAATAATTGAAATTTTTCAAAGACTAAGGGGCATAACTTTGTCGAAAATGGCTAGATTGTACCCAAAACAAAACTTGAAACAGATATTCTTATGTAAAAACTTGTAAACCAAATTTCATTTCAGTATATGCAACCACTGTGATAAAAAATGAACGGAAACTTGGCGAACCAACAGACATACTGACAGCAGCAAAGCAGTATGTCCTCCCATCTTCAATCTGAAGGGGGTTAAAAAATTCTGCCGATACCTTAAAATGCTAGTTCATTAAATAGATTGATGCATTATCCCTTTCATGCCTAGGACTGTCATAGTTCCCAAAAATTATACAAACAGTTGACCTAGTTGTTCCATTCAGTTTCATTTCCATTTTTCCAGACTTCAGTTCAAGTCTGGTTTGTGTTGTAGAATCCATTTAAACAAAAACGACATCAAGGTCGAAAGAATGATTGACTGTCTTAAATATGAATATGAACAATCTACCTTAAGCCCAATGTTGAAAACTGTCTTTTCTTAGTTCTCTAAAGTTTCCTCTGTTCAGAACTATTTCACAGCTATTTTACTAGTGAACTTTGATATTTTTAGCACCAAAGACTGCCTTTAACATTGTTCAAGTACTAAAATTTTTAAAGAATTTTTACCAACAGGGACAATACACACATCACTAGTTTACGAATATCAAAAGTCAAGATAAAAACAATTTCTTTGAGTATATACATTTTAATCATAGAGTTAAATTTTATTGTTTCAAAAGTAAAACATATCATTTAAATCTATGGTTTAAGAGTATTCATTTATTAGTAGTAGCGTTGGGTGCCGTATAGCGACTGAAAAATTGTATTGTGATATATCGCAATATTAAATTTTGTATTGCAATATATCACAATAAATCAATCAATATAAAATTCTTATTCACTTAATAACTTTTGCTTTAAATTCCCCCATGTTAAATGAAAACACAAATGCAATTATCAGGTATTCTCAAGTTGATATTGACAATGCCTGATTGAGTTGGGTCGACATAGGAGATCTGAGGCCTGTTCAACAGCTGTGCTCAACAAAATTCCTTTAACCTCCAACAGAAATGTTCGAGCGCCCTCGCTCTGTTGAACAGGTCTAGAATTTAGAAAGGAAGAGTTATTTCCCGTTGGCTGCCATATTGGTGGTCCAACGAGCGAATTTTACTCTTTGAGTTTGAGCAGAGACATATAAAACCACTGGTTTTATATGTCTCTGTCAGAACATGGTAACTAAGTACATGACGAGATGGGACGGTGAGTATCCGATGATGCCAATATACATCAGTACATATGACGACCAACGGGAAATGCATTACTCTTGCTAACATCGTTTCTCAGTGTTTCTATCGAATGAAAACATACGCTATTTTCAGTGTGAGTGAGTCTGAATTTAAAAAAATACATCTACGTAGCTGCAGGTTTTTAAATCACTTATTTCTGTTATGCCATTAACATACCGTACCACAGGGTCCTATACATGCTATAATACCAAACATGTATCACTCAAACACCCGATCACTCTCCACTGAACAGCAGAATCTCTCATCCCATCGTAGCTATTCCACCTAAAAATTAAATAGAAAACATTGGTAATATAATGATCATCAATAGGTCCTAAAGTGCAGAACTTAGTTATAAATAGAAAGAATTTCATTGGTTGTCCTTCCCATTGTTATTGAAATTACTTCTAATAACCTCTACCTCAAGTGGAAGTTGGCTCCAAAGGGCAGTAACTCAATCTCATTATTGAAGGAGTAATTCTTATAATGAAAGATAACTCTTACTTCATACCTTCTATAGTCTTTTTCTCAAAATGTAGTAAATAATCTTCAGCTCTGATCTCTCTCTCTTAACTGAAACTCACAGTCATTCATCCAGTCTTTATCATCCCAGTACACAACCTAAAATATCGTTTGTTTAGAGATTATAAACCTGTTTTTATCAGCTCCTTAGTTTATTAAACAATTATACAATGTAAAATATAATTCATAGATGTTCTTATTTATAGCCATAAATAAGTAATTAAATATATATAAAATTTAGAAGTATGGCTGATACAGTTATAAATATTTTAAGTTTAATAGATATTACATATATTTCAAATGAACATTTAGGCAATACACCTTACACCAAAAACATTAACATAAACAATGTATGAACATTTTTAAACATGCACAAGACATAAACATACTTCCATTAATAATTACAATAGACAGTTATAAATGCATCATATGAAGAAGAAAACAGATCGACTGATGTATGTTCAAATTGTTGAAATAGTAAATTGAAAGAAAATGAAATATTGTGACTTTTTACTACTTGAAAGAATTCAATAATATCCATTTTTACGATTCTAATGAATTATTTTACATTCAACCTTTTCAGTCGTTGAAATTTTTTGACTTATTTCCACAATTCCTCGTATTTTTGATAATGAAAGCAAAGACTTTACTTTAATAAATGAGTAATATGCTTCTCTTGTTAGACAATTATGGATATTTTTTTCTTAAATTCTGAATTGACTTATAAAAGTTCCCTTTTTTAAGTCATCTATGTACGTATATATACTTCAGTCTTCTATGTTTTTTGTGTGTTATATTGTGCATTTTTACCATAAATGCTGTGCAAAATGAAACACAAACAAAACAAAAATGA